CTTCATTGTTTTTAGATAATTAACTTGATAGAACTTTAAAATAAATTATAATTAAGCATAATTTAACTTGAAATATTTACATATAAATTATTACATATAATTATCATTCTTTACTTTTCTTAAAAGGAGTCAAATTCTTTTACTCATAATTTAGAGATGATTATGAAAATAATTCTGATTTTCTCTATTTAGCTGATTAAATAATTGTCTTAACATTATTATATTCTTTTCTGAGAATTTTTTATAAATAAGATTTTCTTGCTAATTCAAAAATTGCTTAACCATTTTTAACTCCTGTCTAAATAGCCATCATAGCAAAAACAGATTCTTTATCAATTCCTTAAGAAGTTTTTGGATTCATAACTAATAATTCAAAAGGATGGCCTTATTCTAACACTTTCCCTTCTTCTAATACAAAAATCTTATCATAATCTGCAATAGTATTTAGTCTGTGAGCTATAGTAATTATTGTGCAATCATTAAATTTCTCTTTAATTGTGCTTTGAATGAATGCATCTGTAGCCATATCCACATTAGCTGTAGCTTCATCTAAAATTAAAATCTTTTTTTTATTCAATAAAACTCTAGACAAACAAATAAGTTATTTTTAGCCAATTGAAAATAAATCAGGTTAAACTTCAGATTATAATTAATTTGGAAGATCTAATACATAATCTTATAAACCAGTTTCTTTAAGAACTTTCCAAATTTTTGAATCATCAAATAAATACAAAGGATCTAAGTTTTCTCTGATTGTAGCTCTAAATAAAAATGGTACTTATGGAATTATAGCAATTTCTTATCTAAGTTTTGCTAAACCTATCTCTCTAATGTCATAATTATCAATAAAAATATTTCTAATAATTAAATTTAAATATTATACCCATCAGGTGTTATTTCTGCCATTCTTAAAAGAGCTTAAATTATAGAAGATTTACCAGCTCCTGTTCTACCAACTACTCCTACCTTTTCACCACCTTCAATTTTAAAACTCATTCCTTTTAATATGAAAGGCATATCTGGACGATATTTCATTTCTACTTTTTAAAATTAAATAGTTCCAGTTTCAGGCCAACCAATAACTGCTAACTCATCATCAATTTAATGAGTAAGTTAAGCTTCTAATTAAATATCACAAATTTCAAACATTCTATTTACACTATTCATTATTGAATCAAAAGCCATAAATTATCTAAGTGTACCAGCTTAAGTATTGAAAGTTGATAACAATAAAAGTGCCTATGAAAATAATGTAGGATCTTCAATCATAGCAATAATAAGAAATATTCCAGCAATATTAGTAAATTAACCAAATATATCTATATAAAATCCAAAGCATCTTTGAGAATATGAAAATATTAAATTGGCTTACATTGATTGATTACAAAGTTATTAAAATTTTTCTCTAATCCAATCTTAATTTTTATTAATTCTTATTTAAGTAATTCCATATAAACAAACCTTAAATTGATCAAATAATGGAGATCTTTATATTAAATCACAAATTTTCAATTAAGACACAACTTATCGAGTAATTGAAAAAATGATTATAGTCATACTAATAGTAAACACCAATGGAAAAGTAAAGAATGGTTATAAAATAGCTATAGTGACAAGGGAGACAAGAAATTAAGATCCTTATTCAAAAATATCAGTAATAATTTATTGAATTTAATTATCTGCTAATGATAAGTCAGTAGAAAATCTATTAATTAATCTTCCTGATGGATTAGTATCAAAGTAACTTATAGGTGCTCGAATTAATCTAGAGAGCATTTCATTATGAATCTTATTATTAGAAATAAGAACTCCAATTATATTTAAGAAGTATTTTACTATATTATTACAATATGCAGCCAAAACTAAGAGACCAGCATTTAAAAATAGTTAATTATTAGCTTATCTATCTGTTTCATCATATAATGCCATTTCTCTATAATAATAATTATTTATAATTTCAGTAGCTACATTTTAGCCAATAATAATAAATATTAAAAAGATAGGAGTCCAATAACTGAAATATCTTTTATAGGTTTTCCATCCAGCATCTGTTTAATTTAATTCTTCTCTTTAAAACAGTTAGACTATTTCTTTCTTTTCAACTTTTTCTTATTGCTTATTTAATAAAGTAGCTAATCTTGTTTATTTTCTGACTAATTATTTTTTAACAGGTTCAACAATATCAGAATTAAATAAAGCTAAAGTTTCTTTGACTTATTTATAAGTTCCTTGATTTACAATTGTACCTTTATCTAAAATAATTACATAATCACATTCTAAAGCAAATTGTATTTAATGGGTTGACAATATAACTGCTGGAATTAATGGCATATATTATTAATGAAATTTAGTATTCTTTTCTAATTAATATTATGGTTAGAATTTAAAAATAAAATCTTTTATAGCATATGTGAATATTTTCCTTGCTACTTTAGCATCAACTGCTGATAATGGATCATCAAATAAATATAAATCAGGTAATGCATAAAGAGCTCTTGCTAAACTTAATCTAGCTCTTTGTCCTCCTGATAAATTAGCACCTTTTTCTCCTATTTATGTTTTATCTCCATCCTAAAATGATAATACATCTTAATCTAAACATGAAACTTGCATTACTTTTCTATACAATTCATGTTCAAATTCTTTACCAAACAAAATATTTTCTCTTACAGTTCCTGTATATATAAATGGATCTTATTCAACAAATGAAATTTTAAGTTTCTTTTTTACATAAAATTCTCCATCTATTTAAGGTAACTCTTCTAAAATTGATTATAATAATGTAGTCTTTCCAGAACCAACCCTACCTATCAAACCTATTAATTATCCTGGAAAAACTTCCAAATTTAAATCTGATAATACTGGAAATGATCTTGGTTTCCATCTCAAATTTACTTCAACCATTGTAACAAATGGAACCCTCTTTATTACACAACTTTATTTCTTTATTTAGTTAGCTGCTGTATTAATTTTACCATTCACATTTATAGTATTAGATTTTCTTATTACTTAATTTGGAGTCTCAATATTTGTTAACAAAATTCTTTTTTTTTCACTATTTGATCCATTTGAAGTCATAATTTAAACAACTCTTTTAAAAATAACATTCAGATTCATGAATGCTTAAAATGCATATGAAACTTAAAAAACACAATAATATTTAATCATGGACATTAATTAAATAGTTCCAACAATTGAGGAAACATCAATATAAATATCATTAAAATAAATGATTAATAAAAATAAATATGATCCCCAAATATGAACACTGTAATTAAAAGATCTATCAATTAAATTTAGAAAATGAATTTTAAAATAGTTGAAAACTTCTTGTCTTCTAATTGCTTAAATTTTATCTTAGAATGCCTTTTCCCAAACATACATTTTTATAAGTCTTATACCTTCAATTAATTAATTTTAAAAAGATATTCTATTATCTTATTTGAGTTTAACTTAAGTCAAAACTTTCTAAACACTTTTTTAGATTAAAATTTGCAAAGGATAAATAATGACACAAATTAGTATTGCAATCAATCCTATTGGCCCATTGAATCTTAACTACATAAAAAATAATATGATTACCCATAAAATTACTGATGCAAATATGATAGATCCAGGAATAATTGCTATTGCATATACAAAATTTAATTAAAATTCTATTGCATTTATATCTCCACTTACTAAATTCATAATATTTCCAACACTAAATTCTTTAATTTCATATGCTTTTAATTCTAAAATTCTATCAAATATAAAATTAGTTAATATCATTCTCATTTTAGTTGAAAAATTATTTATTGTATATCTAGATTATATAATAAAATAATATACAATTAATAATGCTTACTTAATAGAGCTACTAGTGATAAAATAGCTAAAGCAAGTGCTTAATAGAAAGCATTTGTTTAATTTCCATCTTTGACAGCAGCAATAAGAGTTTGAGTTAAAATAGCCATAACAAATCTAGAATAAGTTTCACACATAGCTAACATGACAATTTTGAATGTTAACCATTTATTATCACCAAAGAAGAAGATTCGAAATAATGAAAAAGAAGTAATTTACTCTGAAATCTATAATTAACATATTTAATTACTTTAAGATTAAATAACTTTTTAGCCTTTTGATAATTGGGTTATATTGTATCTTCGAAGTCTTAGACTGGAAGATGACTTATACCTAATGTAATTTTTTAATCAGAAATCAATTATTAAATTCTTCTCATATATGAAAATACATGCAACAGTAAAATTTAAGAAAAAGTTGAGAAATTTTAATAAATAGTAGACTAATAAAATAATGATGGAGTTGATGTTTTAGTATTAGTAATAGATTCTGGAACTACTTTTCGATTTGTGCTTTTACTAAATATTTCTAATAAACCTTATTCTGTTCTTTATGTTTACTCAATGCTCGTTAATTATGTAGTTTATGGTTGATGCTTTAAAATCATTTAATTTTCTTATTTTAGATAAGTAGTGTCTTTGCTTACAATGTATTGATTCTCTTAATCTTACTCTTCAATTTATTCTGAAGGTTAGGATCTAGGTATATTTGGTTCATGCATTATCATTTCATGACTATAAACTTATGCAAAATCTATATTATTTGAAGGAGAATCTTCATCAGAGTTATTTCCACTTTATACATCATCATCTGATTGACCATTATATGCTTTTACAAAATCTAAAAGTGATGTTTACAGTATAGTTTAAGGATGTGATTCTAGTGCTTACTAAGTTAGTATATATTTTACTTATTCATCATTTTATTTGGATCCGCTATTAAATTCTGTTTTACCAAGAGATGGTTATCTAGCAAATTGCGATTTATGGTCTTTTTTAATCATATTTAATATGTATTTTGAAAAATTGATATTGAAAACTTAAATATACTGATCATTAATTATAGAAATTCAAATATATCTCACTTGGAGTGCTAGTAATTTAATATTAATTGAAACACATGATGTTTAATATTACAAATTATTTAATTTTATAATGAGTCAAAATGAAGAAAATAATAAAATTTCTGAGGAATCAGAATAAAAAGATGATTCTGAAGAAGATGAAGCTGAAGATAAAGAAAATCAATAGAGATAAGAAAATTTTGGAAAAGATGAACATGATGTAGTATAAGTTCATAAATCACCAGTTTAAGTGAAAAGATAAGTTTTAAAAAGAAAGAGTACAATGAAGGCTGAAGATATGTTTGGCATGAATTTCTTTAAATTTTAATACTATGTAAATTAAGAAGAATTAGGAATTCGTAAAAAAAATTAGAATTCATAAACAGGTGATAGATTGGAAGAACATAATTTTTATATGCATGAAAAAAAATATAGTTTTGGTAGAGATTCATTGTTTATCTTAAAGGAATCATACATAATTAGAAAATATTGTGTTTGGATTGTAACTTGGCATTGGTTTGATAAAGTTATTACATTAATTATAGTACTTAATACTATATCTTTGGCAATGTAAAATTATGATTTTAGAGTTAATGGAACTTCAAATCAATCAGAATTGACATATGTTAGAAATTAAATGGAATACTTTTTTACTTCGGTATTTTTATTAGAATTCATTCTAAAAATATTAGCAATGGGATTCTTATTTGAAAAACATACTTATTTAAGAGATGGTTGGAATGTATTAGATTTTGCTGTTGTAGGAACTAGTATACTTTCTTTAGTTGGAAGCTTTAATCTTAGTGCAATCAGAACTATCAGAATTTTGAGACCTTTAAGATCCATTAAATCAGTACCAGGTTTAAGAATTCTAGTAGCTTCTTTATTAGATTCTTTACCTAATTTAGGTAATGTCTTAGTATTCTTGTTGTATCTATTAGTCATCTTTGGAATATTAGGATTGTAATTATTTGCAGGTGCTTATGAAAATAGATGTAGATTCACATAATTTCCAGTTAATGGTACTTGGTTAGCTGATCCATTAATTACTCATTTATGTAGTTCAGACTCAGATTGTCCTGAAAATGAATTTTGTGGTAATCCTATTAATTATAATCTCCCTAATTAAGATAATCCAATTCCTGAATTAAATTATTCATACACTACTTTTGATAATATATTAACTGCTACTTTTACCATCTTCTAAGCTCTTACTACAGAAGGATGGTCTACAATTGTTACTTAATTAATTGATGCTGTTAATCCAATTTTGGTTTACATCTATTTTAATCTATTAATTATTATAGGATCTTTTTTTACTATTAATCTTATTCTAGCAGTTATAAATGATTCTTTCTTAAAAAATCAATCAGAGAGAAGATAAGAATTATTAAAAGAGGAATAACAAAGAAAACAATAGAGAAAAGAAAAGAAATAAAAAGAAAGATAAAATGCTTAAATTCATCCAACCTAAAATATTGCTGATTTAGTACCTTCAGATGATTCAGATTCAGATGAAGAAGCTTAAAAGAAAAAAGAAGAGATAATTAAACAAGTTTTGAAACCTACAAAATTTTAAGGAAGAGCAGAATAATTAAAAATATTACAGGATCAATTTAATAGGAAAGTAAAAAAAGAAAAATAATAAATGAATTTTTTTGATCCATCTTTATACACTTTAGATGTAAATGATGATAAAGGTACTAATTTTGATACTAAATTTAAATAATTTTTCTTAAGATTTATTGAATCATTAGCATTCACTATAATAGTCAATTGTATTATAGCTGCTAATACTGTAGTATTGGCTATGGATAGATATCCTTAACCACAATCAGAAATNTGATTTTAGAGTTAATGGAACTTCAAATCAATCAGAATTGACATATGTTAGAAATTAAATGGAATACTTTTTTACTTCGGTATTTTTATTAGAATTCATTCTAAAAATATTAGCAATGGGATTCTTATTTGAAAAACATACTTATTTAAGAGATGGTTGGAATGTATTAGATTTTGCTGTTGTAGGAACTAGTATACTTTCTTTAGTTGGAAGCTTTAATCTTAGTGCAATCAGAACTATCAGAATTTTGAGACCTTTAAGATCCATTAAATCAGTACCAGGTTTAAGAATTCTAGTAGCTTCTTTATTAGATTCTTTACCTAATTTAGGTAATGTCTTAGTATTCTTGTTGTATCTATTAGTCATCTTTGGAATATTAGGATTGTAATTATTTGCAGGTGCTTATGAAAATAGATGTAGATTCACATAATTTCCAGTTAATGGTACTTGGTTAGCTGATCCATTAATTACTCATTTATGTAGTTCAGACTCAGATTGTCCTGAAAATGAATTTTGTGGTAATCCTATTAATTATAATCTCCCTAATTAAGATAATCCAATTCCTGAATTAAATTATTCATACACTACTTTTGATAATATATTAACTGCTACTTTTACCATCTTCTAAGCTCTTACTACAGAAGGATGGTCTACAATTGTTACTTAATTAATTGATGCTGTTAATCCAATTTTGGTTTACATCTATTTTAATCTATTAATTATTATAGGATCTTTTTTTACTATTAATCTTATTCTAGCAGTTATAAATGATTCTTTCTTAAAAAATCAATCAGAGAGAAGATAAGAATTATTAAAAGAGGAATAACAAAGAAAACAATAGAGAAAAGAAAAGAAATAAAAAGAAAGATAAAATGCTTAAATTCATCCAACCTAAAATATTGCTGATTTAGTACCTTCAGATGATTCAGATTCAGATGAAGAAGCTTAAAAGAAAAAAGAAGAGATAATTAAACAAGTTTTGAAACCTACAAAATTTTAAGGAAGAGCAGAATAATTAAAAATATTACAGGATCAATTTAATAGGAAAGTAAAAAAAGAAAAATAATAAATGAATTTTTTTGATCCATCTTTATACACTTTAGATGTAAATGATGATAAAGGTACTAATTTTGATACTAAATTTAAATAATTTTTCTTAAGATTTATTGAATCATTAGCATTCACTATAATAGTCAATTGTATTATAGCTGCTAATACTGTAGTATTGGCTATGGATAGATATCCTTAACCACAATCAGAAATTATAATATTATCATATCTCAATTTGGCTTTCACGTTATTTTTTGTCTTAGAAATGATATTGAAATTCTTTGCTTTAGGTATAAAAGAATATTTCAAGGATTATATGAATATATTTGATGCTTCAATTGTGGCAATATCTTTGGTGGAATAAGTATTAGACTTTGCTTAAATCTCTGTATCTGGAGGATCCATAACAGCTGTTTCAGCTTTTAGAACTTTAAGAGTTTTCAGAATATTCAAATTAGCAAGATCTTGGAATTCTTTAAGAGAAATTCTTATAGCTATAGCAACAACTTTAGAAGCTATTAGTTTTTTTACAATGTTATTACTATTATTTATGGTAATAGCATCATTAGTAGGTATGGAATTATTTGCTTATAATATACCAAATGTAAGATTGAATTTCAATACATTCTTTGATGCAATGATTACCATATTTGCTTTATTAACATCAGAATCATGGAATATTTAAACTTATATATATATGTATAAATCAGATCAATGGTGGCCTTTAATCTTTTTTATTAGTGTTGTCATTATGGGAAATTTAATTCTTTTAAAATTATTTATAGCAATCTTAATCTATAATTTTGGTTAAAAATCAATTGAAACTGAAAAGAAATTATAGGATAAAATGAGAAAATTGAATTTTCATTAATTAGTAGAGTAATTTAAATCATCAATAAAGATTTATGATCCTGAAGAAAAAATTAAACATAAATCGCCAAAACCTGAAGAAGTACATCCTGAAACTTAGAAGATAATAAAAATAAATTAAAATTATATAGGATAACATTAAAATTCTGATGTAGCTTGTTTTTTTTTAGCAAAGTATGATTAAGCTAGATTTGAAGTAAGAAAAGAAACTAAATAAAAGAAATTAATAAAAAGATTTTTTGATACTGCTGAAATAGTAGATCCAGAAGAAATTAGTGATGATTCTTCAGGTGATGAAGAATATATAAAATAAATGGAATAAAAAATTTAATTTTAAAGTTAAGGACCATTGACATTTTAAGATGGATATTAAACTTAGGTTTCTCTTCATCAAACTTAATCATTATCTGATAAGAAAACAAGTGTTTTTAGTAAACATGAAACATCATCTGGTTAGGATAATATAGAGGGAGTACTTATAGTAGGAACTTCACTTTTTATTTTTGAATAATCATCTAAAATTAGAAGATTTGCATTTAGATTTATTAATAAATCATAAGTTGTTGGATTTATTATTTTAATGATTTTGGTTTCATCTGTTCTTTTAGCTTTAGATGATCCTTTAGAAGAGAATAATTCAGAAGTTTTAAAAGAAATAGATTTAGTTGTTACAATAATATTTACAGCTGAATCATTATTAAAAATATTAGCATATGGATTTTTGTTTAATGGAGAATATAGTTACATGAGAGATTATGCAAATGTATTGGATTTCTTAGTAATTATTTTTAGTTGGGTTAGTATATTTTCTGAAGCAAATTTATAAATATTTAAAATTCTTAGAATTTTTAGAGTATTACGTCCATTAAGATTGGTATCAAGAAGTGATAGTTTAAAAATAGCAATTAATGCTTTGATTCTTAGTTTATCTAAGATTTTCAATTTGATATTAGTTAGTTTAGTCTTTTATGGGATGTTTGGAATATTCGGTACTAATTTTTTTAAGGGAGCTTATTATTCTTGTGATATTAATAAGATTGGTGAATATCAAATAATTGGAAAATATGATTGTTTTGATTATGGTGGTAATTGGGTTAATGCAGATTATAATTTTGATAATGCTCTTAATTCAATAAGTTCATTATTTGTAATTTCAACAACTGAAGGATGGTTAGAATAAATGTATTAAGGGATAGATAGTGTTGGAATTGATTTATAACCAATATATAATTATAATATGTATTGGTCATTATTTTTTATTGGATTTGTAATTATTGGATCATTTTTTGTTATGAATTTATTTGCTGGTGTAGTATTAGATGCATTTAATTCTGAAACAGATAAATTACGTGGATATTTTTATATGACTTTAGAATAATAAGAATGGGTAGATATAAAAGAAAGAATATATTATGCAAAACCATCAATTAATTAAAGAAAGAGTGATTAATGGTTAAGAGCTAAAATGTTCTTAATAATAAATCATAAATATTTTGATTCCATGATTTTTATTCTAATTACAATCAATACTATTTTATTTATGTTACAACATGTTAGATAACCTGATATATTAAATACTATTATATAATATTCTAATTTATGTTTTTTGTGTATATTTACAACTGAAATGATAATAAAATTAATAGCATTAGGATGGTAATATTTTGCAGAACCATTTAATAGATTTGATTTTGTTGTAGTAATCTTAAGTATAGCAGGATCTATTTTAGAATAAATGTCAATATTAACAGCTTTTGGTACAGTAATAAGTGTTTTTAGATCTTTTAGAATAGTTAGAATCATGAGATTAATTAGATCAGCAAGAAGTCTCAAAGCTATATTTGAGACATTCTTTCTTACAGTAAGTTAATTAGCTAATATTGGTGGTTTATTATCAATTATTTTATTTATGTTTGCTGTTTTAGGAATAAATCTTTTCCCATATGTAAAATGGTCAACTAATGGTTTAACAGGTTCTATAAACTTTTCTACTTTAGGTAAAGCATTTTTCACTTTATTTAAATGTAGTACAGGTGAATATTGGGATTAAGTTTAAGCAGATTTAGTAAGATAAATGACACCTAATAATGTCTGTTTCTCTGAAAATCTATTAATTGATTATTAAGAATATGGTTTTAATGGTTGTGGATATTGGTATGGAGTTGTTTATATGGTGAGTTTTTAAATGATATTTGCTATGATAATGCTTAATTTATTTGTTGCCATTATTGTTTAAGGATATGAAATTATATAAAAAGATGAAGCATCATCTATATCTACTAATCATATATAAGCTTTTATTGATGTTTGGAAATTGTATGATTAAACTGGTTCTGGATTGATAAGAGCATTAGAGTTGGATCGTTTTTTAATTAAATTACCTAAACCTTTAGGAGTAATTAATCATATATAAATATTTAGTGGAAAGGATTATTGTTAACACAAATGGAGAAAAGAAAAGTTATAAATTAATATAGATTACCAGTCTATATACAAAATTAAACAGTCATGTATTTTTTTTATGATGTTTTGGAAGTATTGTCTCATAATATTCTAACAAGGAAATATGGAGATGATACTGAGTAAGATTTATATAATTTATTTATTTTAGATTAGAACCAAAAAAATTAGTAAAGGCTACTAAAGATTTGATTAAGAAAAGATTATAATTAATTGAATAATTAAAAAATGTAAAAACTTGTGCTTGGACAAGTGAAGATATTAATAGTGCTTTTATTATAATGAGAAGAATGAAAAGGAAATTAGATGAATTGAAGGAAAAAAGAAAGAATTAAGTTCAAATAATAAGAGATCTTTCAAGTGTATAAAGTAGTGAACAAGATGACTCACCAGATTAAACCTAGAGACATATTTAACTAAATACTTAAGGTATACATTCTGGTCGTTAAATTATTATGGATTCTTGATTATATAATCATTATTATAATAATAAAGAGTCAATATTTATATACTTTTAATTTCATTACATCAGGACTTAAAGATATACCACCTTTCTATATTTATATCTACTTTTAATTATAATAATCTTAAAATTGGAACTTAGAATTATAATGATGACTAGATTTCACTATTGTTCTTTAACTGTTAGATAATTTAAGAATTGGAAATTATCTTCCTCCTTTATTCATTATTATAGGACTACTACTTCTAAATGTTATAAATGGATTATTTTGTTATTCATCATTATTAAAAAAATGTGTACTACATCCAATTTGTCTAGTTGGTGTTTCTAATAAAGATGGACTATTTTATCTTTAATTCTCTGTTAATCCTTTATGAGATTTAAGGAATATTTCGAATAAACTATTAAATCTTGGTATATTAGATTTTGGTCCTAATTTTCTTTTGGATTATTCTATCATTGTATCCATTTTTTATTTTATCAATTGATTTCTACTTTTATAATTATCATTTTTAGATTCTTTATTTTTACAAGTCTTTATACATTCTTCTTGGATCTCTTTATCTTATTCACATGATGTCTTTATTTAAAAAAATCTTGGATATTTAAGATGAGTATTTTATTCTTAATGAACTTTAAAATTGACATAAGAATTAATTTCTTACTTATGTTTTTCCAAATCTTATGTATGTCCTTCAAATATTTTCTCAATCAAAGATGTTCTATGTATTTTGTAAATTTATCCTTTAGGACTGAGACAAATAATTGAGTATTCATATGGTATTTTATTAAAGAGATGATAAAATCCAAATACTTATAATTCTCCAATCTCAAATAACTAATTTAATTGAAATAAATATTACTATTAAAGGATGTTATTTATTCACTAATTTACGCACTTAAAATAGACCTGCTTTAACAATCAGAAAACTATCTGATTTGTCTCCTTCTTATAATACTGTTTAATGTTTTTCATATTCATAAAGAAATGAATTTAAATAGATTTAAGTTAATTGAGCTCTATTTAATTAATTAAATATTGAAATCTATGCAAAATAATCAACATTCTATAAAGATGATAATAATTTATACTTATTCTATCTTTTTTGTTTATTCATAATGCAAAATTTATTAAAACTATTGTTTATCTAAAACAGCAAAACAACAATCATTCACACAACGAATAGTTGCTAATCTAGGTTATCTATGAATGAGAGCCAATTCTCCAAAAGATTCTCCTTGTCTCAGAATTCTTACAGATTCTAATTCATCAAAACCTCTTCTCTTAATCAAAACCTCTACTTGACCATCTAAAATCACATAAAATTTAGTGCCAATCGAATCTGCATTATTAATAGAGTCTCCATACCAACATGAAATACAATATCAGTTGCTAAGAACCGTTCAACAAACATGTGTTTACAACATTCTCGATGTATTAATAATCCATTTTCTTATTTGTAATATTATTTAAAAAAAGGAAGTTCTTAAGTAAGATGAACTAATAGATCAATTTCCATTTTGCATCGATGTTGTGGTTATTTTTTTAATAAATGCAATGCTTCAGCCAAGTGATCTTCAAGCATATATAACAATTTAAATATAAAAATAAATTAGTCAAATTGTGTTGCTAATAAAAGTCTATTGTTTTTGATAATCAAGTATTTAATAATTTTAAATCAAAATGTCCTAAATACCATTATCTAAATATCATTTGCTTACTAAAATTGGTTAAGGACTTTATGGAGATGTTTATAAAGCCAATATATTAGGAACTGATTAATATGTTGCAGTAAAGAAAATACGCATATATGTAAGTTGATGTAAATTTATAAAAGGATGTTTCTGTTGGAGTACCAATAACAGCTTTAAGAGAAACATCACTCTTACAACGTATTTAACATAAAAATGTTGTAAAGTAATTCAAATTTACTATATTGATTAGAATACTTGAAGTTGAAAAAATACATGGCCAAATAAGAGTGGTTATGGAGTACTTAAAATTAGATTTATAATAATACTTGAATGAAAATAAAGACAGATTAAGTGTAGAATAGCTTAAAGTAATACTTTTACTATAATAGAAATTCATGCATGATATTTTATCAGGAGTTGGGGCATGTCATAGATTAAATTGTATACATAGAGATATATAACCAAAAAATATACTTATTTAAGATGATGGTATAATATTATCAAATTATATAATAAGGAACTCTAAAGATAGGAGACTTTGGAAGTGCTAGAGTATTTCAAAAGTTTCCATAGTTTTTCACTTCAGATGTTTGTGATTTATGGTATCGAGCTCCAGAATTATTACTGGGATCAAATTATTACACAATAGCTATAGATATGTGGGCTATAGGATGTGTATTTGCTGAACTTATACTCAAATAACCTTTGTTTTAAGGTGAAAATGAAATTCATTAAGTCAAATTGATCATTCCTAATGTATAATCCTTTTAGACTGTTGTAATTATCATATCTTTATTTAGAATCTAAATGATCCTAATCTATAAATATAATTTAATGGCATCATTACTAATAAACTCTAAAACTTAATTAATTAAGATGGATTAGATCTTATTATAAAATTGCTCAAATTAGATCCAGAACAAAGATTATCCTGTTCTTAAAGTCTTTAGCATGTAATTCTATTATTTTTACTCTTAGTCCTTCTTTAGATGATCCATATTTAAATTTTCTTAATACTATAATAATATTTATATATATATATATATTTCTACTATCTCCCAATTTCATAGAATGAGATTAAATAATATTATTTCATTAATTACAAAAGTTAAGAAATAAATCAAAGAAATTTAATTAAAATGATAAAACCAATGAAAATGTACATTAGTTCTGAAAAAATACATGTATTTAAATTGATTTAAATAAGATTGTACCAGACCCCTAAATATGTGGATTTGATAAGTCCCTTACAATAGATAAATAATATTTTACAATATAAGTTAATTAAACTATGATTGAATCAGTCATATAAGAAATAGGAATTTTTGGAATTGTAGGTGTTTATAGATTTTATGGCAAACTTAACTTACTTTATATAGCTGAGGCAAATTAGGTTTGCAAAATAAATGGTTAAATCATATATGAAATAGTTTCGATATCAAATATTTTATAGAATCAATTTTCTTCTATGGAGCAATAAAGCATTAAAAATATTGAAACCTATTTTAGTAAATGCACATATTTCTCATTATAATATGATTTGACAATACCATTATCATAATAACATCAACCTGAATAAAGTGAAAGGAGTATGAGATTTTGGTGGAATTTTCATGGTTATAAAACTTTTTTGGCAAATTCTATTCCAAAGTGTTGGTGCATTAAAATAATTTAAGGATATGTTGGATTAGGATTATGTGAAATAAAAACTCAATAAAAATAGAAATTAACATATATTTTAATTTCAAGAAGAGAAACTCTAAGAGGAGGCACTCGATATAATCATAGAGGATTAAATAATGATGGTGCAGCAGCAAATACAGTGGAAACAGAATAATTAATTGAGTATTAAGAGAAATTGTATTGTCATCTATAAATCAGAGGATCTGTTCCAGTATTTTGGGAATAGATAGGTATTCGTGCAATATCATAAATTACATAAACTACAGAATAAACAAAAATGGCTATAACAAAACATCTTATGAATTTAAAGAAGTATTTTGGATCTCTTTTATTAATTGATTTAATGGCTGTTGATAAACCAAATGAAGCAATCATAAGTTAAACTTATAAAGAGTAATTAAATTGTTTATTTATTTAGAATGATCAATATGATCAATCTACCTTAAATACAACATTAATAAATTGATTTTAAATAATATTGTAAAAACTATAAATTTGAAAAACTTAATCCATAAATTATTTAAAATAAAGACATTTTAATTTAATAATCTTATACTAAATTTTAGAATGGAAAATTAAGTAAGTATAATTATTAATACTTAAATTAGTGAATATTTAGAATGGAGTTGTAAGAACTAATTGTTTAGATTGTTTAGATAGAACTAATGTATTTTAAACAAAAATAGCATTTTTTATAACAAATCTTATATTAAATGATCTTGGTATTAATATTCCAATAGAATTTAGATGTGAAACTATTTTAGATTTAGTAAAAATATAGTTATTAAATTATTAGTCAGATTAAGAAAAAGTTCATGATCTAATTAAATTGATTAAAATTTTATGGGGTGAAAGTGGAGACAATATTTCTAGACTCTATGCAGGTACAAATTCATCAACTACTAAAATCTAAAAGACTGGAGGTAGTAGTTGGACTGGTATAATAGAACATGGTTTAAAAGGTTTTCATAGGTAATTGTTAAATTGGATTTTAGATTTTATAATTAGAATGTTACAGATGAAGAGAAATAAAATATTTATTCATTTATAGTTGGAGAGAATTAACATTAAAATAAATAATTTTTGGGAATGGTTGAATAAATGTCATAACAATCACCTATTATTCATAAAAATTTATTGTTAATGGTTATAGGATATGATGCTTAGAATTAGACAATAAAAGATTTCTTTCATTTAATTGATTCTAGATAGTAAAAATTAAATTACAATAATTATATAGAATACCATAATTCATAATAGTATTATTTTAAAACATTGTTAAAATATGTTAACCTTGCAATTATATCAAAGATTAAATGTAATCATCGATTAGATCTTAATTAGGATAATATGAATGTGCTTATGCTAGTTAGAATGTAATTATTATACTATTAAATTATAGGAAAATTAATATAGTTTTATATTTACTAAATAATGTATTTAAAATGCTGATTTTAAAGATTATATTTTAAAGTAAGGTGATAAAGAATTAGGAATTGTTTAAACTTTTAATTATGAAGATTAACGATTTTAAATTATTAATTTAAATGTTAATTGTTAAGAATTATTAATGTATGAAAAAAAGATAATTGAAGGAATTAAAAATAAAAATATCAATTTTAATATATCAATTCTTGGTGGAATTTGTAATTCACAAATATTAATAGAGGAATCTATTGAAGACTTTTGTAGTAAGAATAAAAAAGATCCTATCTCTTTATTATTTTAAAAAGATTAATTATGTTAGTGTTTTGAAATATCTTAGTTGTTGAAAAACTACCAAGAACCCTATATAAGTTTTTTACCAAAAAATGGATCCAAAAGTTGGCCAAATAGAATCTTATATGGACCATTAGAATCATAGGATGCTTATAATATTTTAGCATATGAAGAATCAATTAGTAATGGTATTAGATTACTAATTACAATTGATTTTGAAATACTTGGTTTGAATAGTTAAAAAATTATAAATAATGAAGAGGAGGATGATGATATAAGATATTCATAATAATTCTACTAAGTTACAGAAGAAAATGATGATTTCGAAATAATTACATGATGGTTTGAGTCAAAAATAAATTAAAATATTATTTTTTGTATTCATGAAATTCTTATATTTCTATTTTATATACTTCTTTCCTTATTTCTAACTATAAATATATTTCTAAATTTCTAATTCTCATTTTATGGTTTGATTTCTTAAATTGATTATTGAATTATTAAAATGATTATATTAACTTTATTATTAGGTATATATGCATAAAACAATATAAATGAATTATTGTAGGAATGGGAAATTCATATTGAATAATCATCAATTGAAAGTTAATATATATTCAAAGAAATCTTAAACTAATTTAAAGATGAAATACCAAAGCAATATCAATGTAAATTTTTTAGGATCTATGGACAATATATCTTTTATGGTTTAGAAAATGAAAATACAATAGATTTTGCAAGAGTAACTTATTAATAGTTAGATTAGGCTCTTTATTATTTTAAGAAGTCTTCTGATTTAGGTGATATTAATTCTCAATTTTATATGTCTTTATTGACATATTTAAATTTAGATGGATCATACAATATTTATAGTAATCTAAAAACAGAAACAAAACTATTTAGATATGTTAAGGAGAAATATTAAAGTATCTCTTTGATTGATCTTTATTTTTCTGCAATTTAAGGATTTCATTAAAGTAGTATTGCAATGGGTTATAGACATTTAAAGGGAATAGGACTCAATTAGAATTGCTCAAATTCTGCTTCATTTTATTTACCAGTATTAGAAGAATTTGCAAATTCACCAATCAAAGCAAAATATTTAAGGGAAAATAGATAAGTAGCCTAAGTTTTGTATGATAGTAATTTCTATATGAATCATGAATTGGACATATTTGGACATGCTCAAATATTTGAGAATTTGAATATGATCACTTATGATTCAGTTATTGAAGTTAAACAATTAGCCTATAGTTTTTACTATGGATTAAATGGACTTAGAAGAAATTTTGTTAAGGCATATTAATTATATTACAAATTATATGATTAATTAAATGATAAAGAATCTGGTATTAAAGTAGCTTAAATGAATATTGAAAATTTGGGAGTAGATGAACCAAATTATCAATTGGCTTTTGAGATTTTAAATACAATTGAAACATAAAACTAAGAATATTAAGGGAGAATTTAGAATGCATTAGGTTACATGTATTTTAAGGGATTGGGAATACAATAAGATATATTAAAAGCCTAAGATTATTTTAGAAGTATTTTATAACAATTTAAAATCTTTAGAAGCAGCAGACTTATAAAATAATGATGGTTAATTTAATCTGGGATCATTATATATGTTACCTTCTACAATATAAAGAGAAAGAAATTAACAAAAAGGAGTTTAATTAATAGAATAGGCAGCTGTAACTGGACATGCAATGGCTTAATATAGTCTAGCATTAATATTACTTGATGGAGTAGATCTATTTTATTCATGTGATTTAGCTGCTACTTTATTACATGCTTCATCATCAAGAGGTCCTTGGGCTGATATACTAAAAACAGCTAATTATCTATTTTAATAAGAATAGTATACTTAATCATTATCAAAATATTTTGAAGCAGGATATAATGGATTTGTTGTGGCTCTATGTAAATATATAATATTAATTTATAGAAAATGCTGCTATTGTAATGGAATAAAATGAAGCCTTTTATTATGATATTCTACACTTTAGTGATATTTAAAAAAGACTTAATAATGATCCTGTTTATCAAATTAGTAATATAGATAATTAAGATGCATTTACATATTTATATTCAGATTATTTATAATTTGTTAATTAATCAACTCTTTATGATTTATTATAATAAGATAGTTCTAAATTAAATGGAGTATTATAATATAGATTCCTTACATAATGTGCTAAAGAGAAGGAATCTATTTGTTATATGAAATTAGGAGATTATTATTATTATGGAAAATATGATGAAATGGATTATAAAAAGTCATTTCAACACTATAAAAAAGCATTGGAAGGTCATTTAATTGATGCAATGAAAGCTCATGTTTAGTTTAATATAGGATTAATGTATGCTTTAGGTTAAGGTATTAATATGAATAGAACAAAATCAATAGAAATATTTGAATAATCAATTACAAGTTATTCACTAATTCCAATATTGCCTGTTAATGTTTAAGTTCAAATAATTGATTTTTTGGTTAACGTATATAAGGAAATAGAATAAAGTGGAATAGAACAGTTTTTGGATGTGAATTATTTAGATTTTGCATTGAGATTAATTGATACAATTGAAGAATGTTTAATAGATAATTCTTAAGCAATTTTAAATGTTTCTGTAGGATCATTAATGGTGATTCTATTTGGATGGCGTTTGAAATTAATTAATTAATAAAACTGATATAAATGTATATATATTAAAATTTAGACAATAATATTTGTTAAATATAAATGTCAGAACATCTGGAAGTGGCATAAATAGCAATAGTTATATTTTTTATCTTTATTGCTTTAACAATAGGAGGAATAGTAAGTGAAATCACAAAGAAGATTATGATTCCATATCCTGCTGCAGTTTTTCTGGTAGGTATATTAATTGGATCTCAATTTAATACTATTCATAATCATATATTACAAAGAACAGTTTAAGCAGCCTTTGATATAGATGCTAATTCTAATATGACATTGTTTTTACCAGCCTTAGTATTTAGTAGTGCTTTCAATGCAGATATTTATATTATGAAATAATAGATTATGCAAATATTTATGTTATCATTTCCTAGTCTACTCATTTCAGCATCTTTAATATGTTTAGGATTGAAATTATTATTAGAATATGATGATGAATATTATAGTTGGGGATTTGCATTTGTATTTGGAGTAGTAGTAACATGTACTGACACACTTCAGGTTGTAAAATTATTAAGTAACGCTGAAGCTCCAAAAAGATTCATATCTTTAGTTTAAGGTGAGAGTTTAATAAATAATTGTGCTTCAATGGTATTAATGTTGATAGCAGTTAATTGTGCAAGAGGAGATTGTGATCTACTTACAGTAGAATTATCATATGGTGTGTCATTACTTTTAGGAGGAGCATTTGTTGGTATAATGTTTGGATTATTTACTGTTTGGTGGATAAGAAGAGTAAATCATAATTCTATATTAACTATCAATTTAACAATAGTTTCTGCCTATGTAACATATTTTGTGGCTGAATCTGTAGATTTAGGTTTTACAAAGAATGGATTAGTTGCAGTCATATCTTTAGGATTATTTATGTCTGCTTTTTCAAAAATTAGAATAAGAACTGAAGTAGAACATCCATTATAAATCTTTTGGTAATATACTTAATTTGCTAATGAAACTATTATTTTTATTATTACAGGTGTCACATGTGGATACAAAATATTCAATCAACATAGTCCATATATAAGAAAACAAGATTACATTAATACTATATTACTTTATTTATATATACTTTTATCAAAATTCATTAGTGTTTTGTTACTCTTACCAACAATAAATTTATATGGATAATAAGTTAAAATGAGTGAGGCTATATTATTTTCTTATAGTGGTACAAGAGGTGCTGTCTAATTGATGTTAGCTTTACTTGTAGTTAAAGAACCTTCTTTTAGTGATTAATGGAGTGATATTTTTTTATTTCATACTACTTTTATTGTTATATTAACTATGTTGATTAATGGATCAACAATACCTTTATATATCAAATATACTGGATTATGTACTATTGCTTAGTATAGAGCAAAGGTGAGATTGAATTTTTTATAGGAAATGAAAGAGTAGATTGAATTTAAATTAAATCAAATGAAAGAGGATTATAAATATAAAAATATAGATTGGAATAAAGTTGAATATTTTTCTGGATTGGCTGATACAAATAAATAGATTCAATAAAAAGATGATAAATTAAGTAAGAAATAATTAGATGAGGAAAATAAAAATAAAAGGGAAAAAGAATCTAGTATAATTGGACGTTTTTAAAAATTACTTAAAAGTAAAGGATTGTAAGATGATTTTAATGATGATGATATTGAAGCAGATGATATTATTGAAACAAGAGATAGATTTTTAATGGCATTAAAACAAACTTATTGGGATTTGTATTCATAGAATTAATGTGGTGGTAAGGCTTATAATTTATTAATTGAATCTGTAAGATGGGATTTAGATACTGTTGAAGGTAGAATGTGTTCTTGGGATTTCATTTATAATGTCTTTTATTCACCTATTTATATGAGATTTTTGTATAATTTAAATAAATTCCCTATTATTCGTAGATACTCAGGTGATCTATTATTTGATTGGGTTGCTATTGGTTATGAAGTTATTTCTACATATGTTAGAGCACATGAAGGTATATATATATATTATTTTAAAATAGAAATGGAAAACATGATAGAAGATTTTCCAATAAATTAAATTTTGAAAAAGAAATTGTCTAAAGAATCTAAAGAAAATAGAATAAATGCTGAAAATTTTATAGAAGGATATTTTTATGTTAGTTTTCCAGAAATTATCAAATTAATTCAAACAAAGAAATCTGCATAAGGTTGTTTAGCAAGTTAAGGAAAATATTTATTAAGAAAATATGAATTAGGAGAATTAGATGTAATAATTATATATATATAAATAATTTAGTTTTAATAATATTAAAAGTTAAAATTGTAATTAAATAATTTTGTATGTAATGTTGAAGACATAAGACCTATTTGGCCATAAATATCTATTCATAGTAAATTAAAAGTGCTCCCATTATTTAGTGAATTTAATGATGACTTACTTAAATAATTATCATTACAATCAAGAGAACTCTTGTTTGATAAAGATGAATGTATCTATAGAGAAGGAGATTTGGCTAGATATTTCTATATCATAACAAGAGGAAGAGTAAATGAAACAAGTTCAGAAAATACAAACTATTCAATATCTAAAGATATTGGTTAATTTTTATCATGTCATCATATAGTTTTGGAATCAACTTTATATATATCTTAAGCAGTTGCAGCATCATTGGTTGAAGTGATTCAAATAGAAATAGAATTGATGGTATCTCTATATAAATAGAGTCTTTATATGCAAGATTTTATATGGAAGGACAGTATATTCAGTTTAAGCAGATTCTATCCAAAATAGTTTTAGATTTTATCTCTTGTAGAAAGGGAAATTATTGAAAATGTTCTTACATTTGTTATTTTTAAGAAATATTAAGCCTATACTAATGTATCCTTTTAGGCAGCTATTCTATTGTAAGGAAGAATAATAGAATAGAGATAAGAGAAGAAGGTCAGATTAGAAGAGGATTAATTTGACGTTAATTGTAATGATGGTTAATAGGGTCCTTTACTATTTCCATTTATTAATTAAACATATACTTATTAAACAGAGACAGTTTGTTCATTCTTTTTGTTTGATGAAACTAAGAAAGAAGAAATAATGAAATTGATATAGACTGAAAGATCATAAGAAAGAAGAAGAACTCGTCTTTAGACTGATTTACGTTTCAGTGTTTCTGGAGTGAATAAGTAAATATATTGTTTATATTATTTAGATAATCATTTGGATTTTCTTATCTTTTGAGACCTTCTAAAGTGAATTTGGACATAAATGATTCTAAACATTGATAAATTATATATATATAATCATTAATTTGTTCTTTTTCTAAGTGCAATATTACAATTGCTTTTTAATGATATTTAAGTAATCTATTTTTTAATGATTCTATTTTATTTAATTTTATCATTTTCCATATTCAACTAATATATAGATTATTTAAGTTATTCAATCTATTTATCTTTATTGTCTAATTCAAATTTGTTTAACTTCTTTAGATTATTATATTTTTCCTATATGAAATCAAATTATTATTTTAACTACAATTGCTACTCCTTTATTTTAGACAATTCTAATATTGTTCTATGTTCTCTTTAATTGGCTTCCTGGAACTATTATCTCAAATTATGAAGTAAAGCTTTAAATATAAATTTAATCTACTCATACAATCTCTAGAGTTTATCAATTCTCTTTAATGTTTCATTAAATCTAATTCATCTTATATTTTTTATATCTCTATATTTAAATTCCTTATTTATTCATTATAATCTTCTTTCAAATCTATTTTTCTTTCTAATTGTTTTTATAAATTTTAGTATTCCATTTAAGAAACTAAAAAACAGTGAAATAAAGAAACTTACTCAGAACAACATTTTCAGATTCTGTCTCTTCATTTTCTTCTGTATATTTTAGTTATCCTGATTCAAAAAGTTAAATAATTTGATCAGATGAGAGATACACTTATTTCATAATAATATCAATATAAAGTATTCATATTAATTCTTTATTCGAATTTCAATTTCTATGCATCCTCCTTTTAATCCTAAGGAATTGAAAATACATATTGCTAATTTATTTTATTCTTCTGATTTCCAACCTTCTGAATCCATATTAAATTCTTTATTTCTTGATTCTTTATATCTCTAAATAATTTCAATACTGTTATCAAAGATAAGAACTATAATGTTGATGATGCATATAAATATGCCAACACTCCAATAGGATCTCTAATTAAATCTGTGATTAATACAGCTATACTCAATCCTCCAAATAGAATTTCCAATAATATACCAAAATAAACTAATAATTAGATTTTAAATAATATTTTTCTATCAATTGCTAAATTAGAAGATTTCAAATTAAATTTCTCTTGATCTTCATCAGATTATTAATAAATTGAAGTTCTGTAATCTTATTAACTACTACCTAAATAACTCTATTTTTTCTAATCATTTCTCTCCCTATATCTTTAAAATTATAATTATTATTATAAGGATTCCTTCCTTTTTTCAGCTATTTCTTTAGTTTCTTTAACTGCTTTTATTTACATTTTTACTGTATCTTAATAAGCTTATCTATCCTCTCCATTCTCCCATTATATTGAATTAGATTAATTCTCATTCAAACAACAACTATTTATTCCCTCATCAGCAGGATCTTCTTTAAATTAATTATCTAAATCCTTTGCTGATTAATCACTATTTTAATCTTAATTTTATTGATTGCATTTATTTGATTTCAATTATTTCTAACTCTCCTATCTAAAAAATGATGATCCTCTAAGTCCTTTGACAAATGTTCGTGCAAATGATACAGATTTTATTTTAGTTTATCCTATTTTTATTTTAGGTTCCTCCAACTATTTCACTTCATCCTATATCTCATTCTTTTATTCTTCAATACTCACTTACTTAGACATTTTAACTACTCTTTAAACAGATTCAGGAGACTTACTAAAACTCTCATCCTTTTACATCTATTATTATTGAATTGCTTATTCCATTCCTAAATATTACATTTTAAACTATTATCTACATACTAGAATCTAATCCTTTATACAAGTTTACAATGAAGAACCATATATTATAAATTCTATTATAAACAAAAAGAAATTAGCCATCAAAAATATGTAACATATCATCAAAAAGATAGGATACTATACTCCTTTCCTAAAACCTTACATTATTATTTAATTTACCATTTAATGTACTTACTGTTATCTAAACCAACAGTACTATAAACAATCTTAATTTCATTGTCTCCTTATAATATGTAAATATCCATTTCCTTGCCTTGTTTACTTCTCCTTAATAGATATTATATGAAATCTCATCATACATTGTATACCACACAATCAATAAGCAACCGTATATATAGAACAGTATCGTATATACTATTTCTGCTAGTAGCCTTTCTATGACTATAGTATTTCCTCTCTATAACCTTTATGACTAAATTAAGTTACATAGACTTCGAACGGATCCAGAATCAGCCAAATTAATTTACATATTGATAATACTATTGTCAATACTAGTATATAGTTTTGAGGGGATCCTATTAGTGCATATGCATATTAATAGCAACTAATATATTATTACATCAAATTACGTATAATAAGATGGAATTCTTTGGGTCTTCAAAGAAGTTTAAAATTGTCTTATAGTTATGAATAATATCAAAAAGAATGCAACACAATAGATTCCAATAAAGGTATAATATGGGGCAACATAAATGTCTTACAAATTATGATAACAATCATCTCCAAATGATCCAATATCACATTTACATTTGTCTTCAATCATAATACCTTTGTCACAACATTCCACTTCACAATTCTCCTATCTCATGTAATTGTATTAAAATGAATGAAAAATATAAATTTTGTTAGTAAATTTATTTTCAAATATTTCACAACTTACATTTCTTTTTTTTAATTCATTGTCTATTTATCTATTATTTTTGTTCACTACTTCTCATCCTACTAGAACTTTCTTCTTATTTCTCAAATTGATTTTGTTAGAATACTTTTAAATTTAAATTCATTAATTTTATGTTCAATAAATCATGAAATTTCTCTTGATCTTATTTTATAATACTGATATTTGGTTAATTAAGTAATCATTAAAGATAGAATTTTCTATAATTCAATTATTACTTATATATTTGTTGAAACAATACATATAATTTATATCAACTAACATATTAAGGCAAATATATAATTTGATAATTATTGATGTATATAATATAATTTTAATAATAGTATGAATGATAATATTATATAAAAGTTAAAAGAGCAACATGAATTGGAAAAGTAATAAATGATAAAAGAATTTTTGAAGAGAATAGATTTATTATTATAGAGTAATGTTTAAAAGTATCCTGAAACTGAAAATTGGAAAGAATTAATATTAAAATATGAAAAGCAAAGATAAAATGAATTATATGAATTAAGATAACATTTAGAAGTATTATAGAGATCATAAATCAATACAAAAGATATTGAATTCTATGCAGAAAGAAGAGCTTATGAAAATAAGATTAATGAATTATAAAATAAACTATAACAAGATGATGTTTAGGATCTATATGATACAATAGAATATTAAAGAAATGTCATTCTAGATTTGGAAGATTAGATTGCTCTATTGTAGAATGAAAGACTATAATTGGATTAACATATTTAACAATTGAATTAGACTATAGAAATTCTGAGAGACAATTTATCAAGAAATCAATAACAATAAGATACAAGAAGAATATAAAAAGCTGAAGTGATGGAGGCTATAGATGAGATGAAAAGAGAAAGAGAAAAAGAGAGAGAAAGAGATACAGATGGATATAGAGATTTAGATTCTTTTAGGTCTCCCCAACGACCATATCGATATAGTCACAAGAGCTCATAAGAACGGTAAAACAAAGATTGGAGATTTTCAAATTAACAAATACCATCTCCAAGACCTCCTGTAAGTACAATTCATAATCAGTCTCAGCCAGTTTTATCCTATCAATAGGAAAATAAGGAAATTGTCTTTAAGTTGTAAGAAATTAATGAAATTAAATACAAATATTAAACTGCACTTAATAATATACTTAAATTGGAAGCATAAGTGATTGAAAAATTATAATAAGATGACATAATTGTGGAGTGATTAATTTTAATTTTATTATTTATGCAAATAAACTTATTAATCATATTTTATTTTGTGATTTATCCATAATATATTATTATAATAATCATCATAATTAATTTTTTCTAATTAAAATTTCCTTCTCATTCATTAGATCTAAAAGTATTAAATATTGAATAAGATATTCATCATATCTATTTTGATTGTAAAAAATAAGTTATTGTTAAGCTTAATTTTATTATTCAGTATTTCCCCTTTTTAAGATAAATATAATATTTTTAGTAAGTTAATTATTCTTTATTGATCTTTAAACGGAGTAACTTCAGCTTTATTTTGTTAATAAATCTTTTCAACTATTCAAAATTTCTGTTTTATTTTTAAATAACACAAACCTTAAACTCTTAATAAATTTTCTACAGTCTATTCTAACTTATTAAAATACTTCATTCTACTCTTATAATTTATATCTTAAAATTTAATGAATTTATTCTATATTAATTTGAATATACATTTATGATTTACTATTAGTTATTCAAATTTAAATATAATCATTTTTAAGTTTTACATCTTTAAATTCAAATTTCAAGTATTTCTTTCTATTAATACTAAATTTAATCCTATAATTTAGTTAGTATAATCAGGCTTTTATTATATGTAAAACCTTATTGCATTATACGATTTAGAGATGTTGGAGCTTATCTATTTTCAGATATAAGAAGTTAGTTAAAATATTTGATATTATAAATAAAATTATTCGTTAATGTCCCTTTTGTATGCAAACGAGCAATAATCATTAAGAGAACAGATTTTCAAAATTAAGGATAAATTGTTATCTTTATCTTAAGACTTAAGCAACTATCATGCAGATATCTAAGAATCAAATAGTACTGCTCATTTTAGGACTCAAGATGATGAACAATCTCCTTAATAAATAAATCATGAAAATGAAGAAAAGTGTATCATAACATGATAATTAGCATTTTCATAATTGAATTTTGTTGATAAAAATAAATAAGTATCAAACTAATGTCATCAATTCAAAAAACTCAAGCCTCTTTTTAAAGTTCCAGATAGGTCCATAAAAATTGACCCATTGATCAAAAGTTCTATTAAGAAGCAACCCCCTTTAGAATAAATTAGAGTTTATTCTTCTGGAAGACCACCTTAGATTTTAAGATACAGTTTATAAAGAGAAGCAAGGATATATTTGATGTCACCTCATAGAATGAACTTTTCATAACGAATTTCATTTTCCCCTGCCAAAAGACTTTGATTTTATTTTTACTTTCTATATATCCTAATAAAACTAATTTACATTTGTATATAAAAGTCACAATATAATAATTTATGATCATAATGAATATACATAGATTTTTTAATTTGAAATAGAGTAATATAAGAGAGATTGAATATTTTTAAATCGATGATTGATTTGATTTTTGTGACATTAATATTTAAAAAATTAATGCAACTTAAATATTCCTGTAATATTATGCCTGCTTTAGATGGCATGTAAAAAGTGAGCGGATTAGCATGGTCATACAACGGGCAAAAACTTGGAGTATGTACAGCTGATAGGGTAAGAGATGCTTATATAAAATTAGAAAATATTATTATTTAATGATTAATTGGGTAAAGAGGATAATTTCCCTACAAAGCCATCAGACAAGACACAATAAAAATCTTATGTTGTGAGAGCTATTGAATTTTCTCCAGATTCAACTAAAATAGCTGTTGCTCAATCTGATAATATAGTGTATGTATATAAGATTGGTGCAAAATTTAAAGAGAAAAAGACTATATGTAATAAATTCCCAGCCTCTTCTTCAATAACAACATTAATATGGCCAGCATAAAGAGAAAATGATATCATATTTGGATTAGCAGAGGGAAAGGTGAAGATTGGATTTTTGAAAAATAATAAAGTAATGAATTGTACTAATGTTATTAGTCTCAAATAGCATTCACAACAGAATCCTATGTTGTAAGTATGGCAACTAATAGAGATGGAGATGTAGTTGTATCAGGCCATCTTGATGGATCAGTATACAGTTACAATTTAGATACTTAATAATCATAAAAGTTAGTGGTACATCATTCTATACCATATGCTTTGGCTTATGGTTAACATGTGGCAGCAGCTGGTAATGATCAAAAAGTCTCATTTTATGATAATTACGGTAATCTAGTTTAAAGATTTGATTACACTTAAGATGAAAGATGTAAAGACTTTTCAGTAGGTGCTTGTAGTCCTAATGGAGATATTATAGTATTAGGTAATTTTAATAGATTTTATCTTTATACATATAATCAAAAAAGATCATAATGGGAAGAAATAGGAGTTAAACATATAGAGAATTATTATACAATTACAGCTTTATGTTGGAAGAATGACTCATCAAAATTAATAACTGGTTCATTATGTGGTTCTGTTGATGCATGGGATATTTCAATGAAAAAGATTAGATTTAAAGGAAAATATGATTTGAATTATATTGGTCCATCTTAAATTGTCATATAAGTTTTATCAACAAATTAATAAGCAGTTATTAGATCATCTTAGGCTGAAATATCAAAGATTGATATAAAAAAAGAGAGATTTGTAGTTGCTAAAACACATGAAACATTGATTGTAGGAGATTTAGCTACAGGTAAGACATCAGAAGTAAGTTGGAGAGGAAGTGGAAATGAAAAGTTTGATTTTACAAATGAAAATATTTGTATGGTATTTAATGCAGGTGAATTAACTTTAATAGAATATGGAAGTGATCGTATATTAGGTACATGTAGAACTGAACATATGAAAAATTCACTTATTAGTGCTAAAGTTAGTTATACTGGTTAGAATAAAACTAAAGTTATTGCCTTTTTATTAGATTTATAAACACTTTAAATATAAGATTTAACTACTAAAAGTATTATTGCTACAATTGCTCATGATACAAAAATAGATTTCTTAGAATTGAATTCTCATGCAAATAGATTAATATTTAGAGATAAAAGAAGATAATTGTATTTATATTCAATCAAAAATGCATTTAAACATACTTTATTATCATTTTGTAATTATGCTTAATGGGTACCAGAAAGTGAAGTTATAGTTGCTTAAAATAGAAATAATTTGTGTGTTTGGTATTCTATTGAAAATCCTGATAAAGTTACACTTTATACAATAAAAGGAGATGTAGAAGAAATTGAAAGAATTCCAAGTACACCTACATAAGCTGGTTCTACTTCTGTTATTGTAAGTGAAGGTTAAAGCAAAGTTGCTTATAAATTGGATTAAGCATTAATTGAATTTGGATTTGCAATTGAAGGACGTGATCTTGAAAAGGCAGCTTCAATTTTAGATAAATTAGAATTGACATCTGATACTGAAGCAAATTGGAAAGTTTTAGCATAATTATCTTTGGAAGAATAAAATTTATCTGTATCTGAACATTGTTATGCTGCTTTAGGAGATGTTGCTAGAGCATCTTATTTGAGAGGTATTAATAGACTTATATAAAAATATTATGAAGAAACTGGTAAGAAGGATGGAATATCATATTATAAAGTCTAATCTAAATTGGCTATTTTAGATAAATAATTTACTAAAGCTGAAGAATTATTACTTAATCATAATGAAGTAAATGAGGCTATGGGAATGTATTAAGATTTACATAAATGGGATGAAGCTATTAAAATTGCTGAAAAGAGAGGTCATGAATAAGTTAAAGTTCTTAAAGAAAATTATTATTAATGGTTAATTGAAACTGGATAAGAATCTAAGGCAGCTGAATTAAAAGAAAATGAAGGTGATTTTATTAATGCTATTAATCTTTATTTATAAGGTGGATTACCAGCCAAAGCTGCAAATATTGTATTTAATTGTAATATGTCTTTCCCATAAGATTTATTGGAAAGAATTGCTTAATCTTTAGCTTAAAGTGGTATGTATGAAAAAGGTGGAGAATTCTATGAATAAATGGAAGATGATTAATAAGCTTTGAATTGTTATATTAAAGGAAATGTATTCAAAAAGGCAGTTGAATTAGCTAAAAGAAAAGATCCTAAATTAGTTAAATAATTGGAAGAAAGTTGGGCAAATTATTTAGTTGAAAACAAAGAAACAGAAAGTGCCATTAATCATTATGTAGAAGCAGGCAAATTTTAGAAAGCTATTGAAGCAGCAGTCTATAGTAGATCATGGACTAAAGCTATTTAATTATTATAAAATTAATCAGCTGAAGTTTCAAGACCTTATTATAGATAAGTTGCTAAACATTATGAAGATGTTAGATAATATGATTTTGCTGAAAAATATTATATTAAGGCTAATTCTCCTATTGAAGCTTTTGAAATGTATGTAAAAGCTAGTAAATGGGATAAAGCACTCTCTATAGCTAGAGAATATTTACCTGAGGAAATTGTTTAGTTATATTTGAATCAAGGTAAAAAGTTTGAATAAGCTGGTAAATACAAAGAAGCTGAAAAATTATATTTAACAGTTTAGGAGTATGATACTGCTATTCAAATGTACCAAAATCTATCATAATATGAAAGTGTTATAAGAATTGCCAGTAAATTCACTCCTTAAAAATTAAAGGATATTCATTTGGGAATTGCAAAAAAATTAGAAAGAGAAAATATACTTAAAAGAGCTGAACAACATTATATTGAAGCTGGATCATGGCATTTAGCTATGTAAATGTACAAGACTCATAATCAATGGGAAGAAGCAATCAGATGTTGTAAAATGTATGGATCAGAAAAAGAAACATGTTAATAAGCTAAATTATGGGCAGAATCTCTAGGGCCAGATGCTGGATTGAAAATGCTTCAAAGATTAAATTTAGTTGATGCTTTAATAGAATATTAATCAGACAGACATGAATTTGAAGAAGCATTCAAATTGGCTAATTTACATGCTAAACATAAATTGTAGGATGTACATTTCAAGTATGCTTGTCATTTGGAAGATGAAAGAAGATATAAAGAAGCTGAAGAAAACTTCATTAAAGCAGGAAAAGCATCAGAAGCCATTAACATGTATGAACATCTGGGAGATTATACCAGTGCATTATAAGTTGCTCGTCAATATGAACCATAATCTGTTACTTAAATCTTAATTAGCTAAGCCAAATTCTTTATTGAGAAGAAGGATCTTTAGAAAGCAGAATAAGCTTATATTTAAGGTAAAAGACCTGAATTAGCAATAAAAATGTATGTTGATTAAGGTAATTATCCATTGGCTTTGAAAATTGCTAAGAGTCATGCTCCTCATATGGTAGCAGAATTAAATAATAAATATGGTAATGTAGCTAATACATATAATATGACAGGAGAGGATTTATATTAAAGTGCTTAAACTTGGGAAGAATAAAGAGATTATTTAAAGGCTATAGAAATCTATTTGGAAGTTACACCTTAAAATACTTAAAGTGAAGATGTAATGACTAGAGCATGGGAAAGAGCTATATAGATAGCAGCCAATTATGATAAAGATAAATATCCAAGAATTGTATAAATAGTTTGTAAGAGATTAATAGAAATTAAGAAATTAGAAACAGCAGCATATCTTTATGAATAAGTTGGATAATATTAAGAAGCAGTAACTACTTATGTTTAAGGTAGAGAATTTGAGAAAGCAAAGTAAGTTGCTTAAATGATTAATAATAAAGAATTAAATACTAAATTAATGGATTACATTACCAAAGAATAACGTAAATATGGAGCATCAACAGGATAAGCTAATGTAATGATTGAAACTGGAGATGTTGCTGCTGCTATGGAAATGTTAGCTTAAAAAAATGATTGGGGATAATGCTTATAATTAGCTGATAAACATGGTGTTGAATATTTAAATAAATATTTAATGAGATATGTTAAAATTACTATGTAATAAGGTAGATTCAGTGAAACAATTCAATCATTAGCTACTTATGGANAAGGTAAAAAGTTTGAATAAGCTGGTAAATACAAAGAAGCTGAAAAATTATATTTAACAGTTTAGGAGTATGATACTGCTATTCAAATGTACCAAAATCTATCATAATATGAAAGTGTTATAAGAATTGCCAGTAAATTCACTCCTTAAAAATTAAAGGATATTCATTTGGGAATTGCAAAAAAATTAGAAAGAGAAAATATACTTAAAAGAGCTGAACAACATTATATTGAAGCTGGATCATGGCATTTAGCTATGTAAATGTACAAGACTCATAATCAATGGGAAGAAGCAATCAGATGTTGTAAAATGTATGGATCAGAAAAAGAAACATGTTAATAAGCTAAATTATGGGCAGAATCTCTAGGGCCAGATGCTGGATTGAAAATGCTTCAAAGATTAAATTTAGTTGATGCTTTAATAGAATATTAATCAGACAGACATGAATTTGAAGAAGCATTCAAATTGGCTAATTTACATGCTAAACATAAATTGTAGGATGTACATTTCAAGTATGCTTGTCATTTGGAAGATGAAAGAAGATATAAAGAAGCTGAAGAAAACTTCATTAAAGCAGGAAAAGCATCAGAAGCCATTAACATGTATGAACATCTGGGAGATTATACCAGTGCATTATAAGTTGCTCGTCAATATGAACCATAATCTGTTACTTAAATCTTAATTAGCTAAGCCAAATTCTTTATTGAGAAGAAGGATCTTTAGAAAGCAGAATAAGCTTATATTTAAGGTAAAAGACCTGAATTAGCAATAAAAATGTATGTTGATTAAGGTAATTATCCATTGGCTTTGAAAATTGCTAAGAGTCATGCTCCTCATATGGTAGCAGAATTAAATAATAAATATGGTAATGTAGCTAATACATATAATATGACAGGAGAGGATTTATATTAAAGTGCTTAAACTTGGGAAGAATAAAGAGATTATTTAAAGGCTATAGAAATCTATTTGGAAGTTACACCTTAAAATACTTAAAGTGAAGATGTAATGACTAGAGCATGGGAAAGAGCTATATAGATAGCAGCCAATTATGATAAAGATAAATATCCAAGAATTGTATAAATAGTTTGTAAGAGATTAATAGAAATTAAGAAATTAGAAACAGCAGCATATCTTTATGAATAAGTTGGATAATATTAAGAAGCAGTAACTACTTATGTTTAAGGTAGAGAATTTGAGAAAGCAAAGTAAGTTGCTTAAATGATTAATAATAAAGAATTAAATACTAAATTAATGGATTACATTACCAAAGAATAACGTAAATATGGAGCATCAACAGGATAAGCTAATGTAATGATTGAAACTGGAGATGTTGCTGCTGCTATGGAAATGTTAGCTTAAAAAAATGATTGGGGATAATGCTTATAATTAGCTGATAAACATGGTGTTGAATATTTAAATAAATATTTAATGAGATATGTTAAAATTACTATGTAATAAGGTAGATTCAGTGAAACAATTCAATCATTAGCTACTTATGGAATGCCAATCATTTAATAAAATTATCCAATTTATGAGAATTTAGCCATAGAAATCTTTGTAGAATGTGATCCAAAAGAATTAAAATTACTTAGATAAGCTTTGTATGGATTTATATAAGGATTAGAAGCTGCTCATGAATTAAAAAGTGAAACTGGTAAGAAATTCTTAAAATTTGGTATTGTTGCTCATTTACTCAATCTTAGAAATTAATATGCTTAAGATGGTATTGTTAAATTACATGCTTAAACTTGTATTTCTTTATTAAGATACTGTGATTTAGTAAGAATTGATTAATTGTATTTGGATGCTGGAAGAGTTGCTAAGAAAACAAATTAATTAGGATTAGCATTTGTTTTAATGAATAGATATTTAGATATATATGAAGTTATTGAAGATCCAGATAATAATAATGGTTTAGGAGATGGAGCAGAATTCTAAAATAGTGATTTACCATCACCTTATGATGTACCAATGCCAGAAAAGAATTTAATATCTGACAAAGAAAAAGAAGAAATAAGAGATTGGTTACTATAATTATCTGTAAATCAAAATTAAGAACCAGTATTACCAACTAGATAATGTGATTGTGGATATTAAATATATGATGCTTCATTAAAGTAATTATATAAATATAATTATTTAGATGCTTTAAATGTAAGTAAACATGGGAGCCTTGCATTATAACTGGTATGCCACTTCTTAAGAATTAAACAATTAATTGTTAATCTTGTGGAAAAGGGGCACTAAAAGATGCATGGAATACATATTTACAAGCATATCCTACCTGTCCATGGTGCAATAAACACGCAAAATGAAATTATATATAAAAGAAAAGAATAATAAGTTAAAATTTATCAATGTAAATAAAATATTAACTTATTTTAAAATTAATTTTAATAATTCTAACTTTATATTTTGTAAAAATATTTATCACTCATTATGTTATTAGTGTTGTAGTTATTATTCAGTGATGTTTACTTTGAAGAATTCATTATCCACCTTTTGAGCTCTAGCAGCCATTAGTTTAGCTAATTTAACCTTCTTATAATATAACAATCCTGAGATAAGGATTGAAACACCTATTACAGAACATATCACTGAAACAACTATGACCACAGTGGATGATGAAGATTCACTCTTTTTGATAGATTTTTAAATAGATCCTGGTGCTGTACTATTATTGGTATTATCACTAACTTCTTATTAATTAACACCTTCATCAGTAGTCAATATAATTTCTGAATCATCAGATTAATTATTATTATTATTATTATTATTTCCACCTGTCTATCCAGAGTTACCATTATTACCATTATTATTGCCACTATTTCCATTATTATTATTGCTACCATTGTTTGTGTTGGTACCATCACTTGGAGATGTAGGAGTAACTAATAAAATAATAATTAATAAAATACCTGATGTAGCTTCAGTACTTGGGAAATTTAATTTGCTTATAGCAGTGATAGTAGTTGATTATTCTAAAACTGTACCAATTTCAGGAGGAGGATTAAAAGATTCTAATCTACTTGCTAATTCTGATAGAACCGACTATGAATTAACAGAGTCATCTGTTCCAATATCAGCACTATCAACTATTCCCCAATCTACAGTAATTTATTATACAATAGTTTCATCCAAGAATCTTCTAGTTGATTTCTTAGTTCCAATGATAAAGTAATTATAAGGATCTCCACCTAATTAAGCTTTTGCATATTGCAAGAATTTATCACCAAAGAATTCATTTGTTGTTATTTCTAATCTTGTTGATACTTATAATGTATTCTTAAGTGAAATCTTAACTTTGCATCCAAGTTTTGCATTGACTACAAAATGAATAGTTCTGTTTTCANGATGGAGCAGAATTCTAAAATAGTGATTTACCATCACCTTATGATGTACCAATGCCAGAAAAGAATTTAATATCTGACAAAGAAAAAGAAGAAATAAGAGATTGGTTACTATAATTATCTGTAAATCAAAATTAAGAACCAGTATTACCAACTAGATAATGTGATTGTGGATATTAAATATATGATGCTTCATTAAAGTAATTATATAAATATAATTATTTAGATGCTTTAAATGTAAGTAAACATGGGAGCCTTGCATTATAACTGGTATGCCACTTCTTAAGAATTAAACAATTAATTGTTAATCTTGTGGAAAAGGGGCACTAAAAGATGCATGGAATACATATTTACAAGCATATCCTACCTGTCCATGGTGCAATAAACACGCAAAATGAAATTATATATAAAAGAAAAGAATAATAAGTTAAAATTTATCAATGTAAATAAAATATTAACTTATTTTAAAATTAATTTTAATAATTCTAACTTTATATTTTGTAAAAATATTTATCACTCATTATGTTATTAGTGTTGTAGTTATTATTCAGTGATGTTTACTTTGAAGAATTCATTATCCACCTTTTGAGCTCTAGCAGCCATTAGTTTAGCTAATTTAACCTTCTTATAATATAACAATCCTGAGATAAGGATTGAAACACCTATTACAGAACATATCACTGAAACAACTATGACCACAGTGGATGATGAAGATTCACTCTTTTTGATAGATTTTTAAATAGATCCTGGTGCTGTACTATTATTGGTATTATCACTAACTTCTTATTAATTAACACCTTCATCAGTAGTCAATATAATTTCTGAATCATCAGATTAATTATTATTATTATTATTATTATTTCCACCTGTCTATCCAGAGTTACCATTATTACCATTATTATTGCCACTATTTCCATTATTATTATTGCTACCATTGTTTGTGTTGGTACCATCACTTGGAGATGTAGGAGTAACTAATAAAATAATAATTAATAAAATACCTGATGTAGCTTCAGTACTTGGGAAATTTAATTTGCTTATAGCAGTGATAGTAGTTGATTATTCTAAAACTGTACCAATTTCAGGAGGAGGATTAAAAGATTCTAATCTACTTGCTAATTCTGATAGAACCGACTATGAATTAACAGAGTCATCTGTTCCAATATCAGCACTATCAACTATTCCCCAATCTACAGTAATTTATTATACAATAGTTTCATCCAAGAATCTTCTAGTTGATTTCTTAGTTCCAATGATAAAGTAATTATAAGGATCTCCACCTAATTAAGCTTTTGCATATTGCAAGAATTTATCACCAAAGAATTCATTTGTTGTTATTTCTAATCTTGTTGATACTTATAATGTATTCTTAAGTGAAATCTTAACTTTGCATCCAAGTTTTGCATTGACTACAAAATGAATAGTTCTGTTTTCAAAATAGTAATTATTTGCTCCACATTAATCAGTCATAGTCATTAAATCATGATGTTTAGAATGTGTAGTCAATCCAGGTTATATGACTTTATTACCAACAAATACTTAAACAATTTAAGGTACAGAAAATTACCATTTCAAAATAACAAAATCTTCTGGGCTACCTGCTTCTGATCTCTTTGATAACCAATATTCAGATGTAGTTGGATTCATACCTGCATTACTCATATTTATAATTGTATTGGTAGATACTAAAGCTACAAATTTAGATTCTCTTAAATTCAAAGGTTCTGGTCCATCCCAATTCCATTCAAAGAAACTATTAATCTCATTGAAAAATAATCCATCAGTCAATTTAATTGGTGAATATAATCTTTTATTAAAATCAGCTGCAGTACTCATAAAATTTAAAACAGTAATCTTTCTATCTGGACACCAATATCCATTCCATGTGTTCTTTCTTACACAATGTGTTACATTTGGTCCAAAATATGTATTATTTGTTATAGCTTATCCTATTTATCCAAAGAAATGACCTGTTTAATCTTCAATCAATACATTTTTCTAACCTGTACATTCAAATGAACCACAACCTCCAAACCATCCTAATTTAGACCAATCAGAATCTCTCATTTAATATAGAATGGAATCAAATTCACAGTTTGTACAAGGTGAATTCACCAAATAATGCTATCCTGTTGCATCATGTGCCTTATGATTTGTCTTAAATACAGCATTTTTACCACATTTTGAAACAGTGTCATGAGTTAATCTGAAATTATTGAATTCAACATTATTTATATATACTCTTAAATCAACTCTTTAAATTGTACAAATTGAATCAAAATTATCTGAAGGTTTAGTTGATATAGGAGGAAAAGCTGAAGAAGATAATGTACCCATCTTAACACCATAAGTATAACTGCAATAAGGATTTAAAGTTGATGAATAACATTTAGTACATTCTGGTCTAACAAATGCACTAACAAAACTATTTGAAAATTTCATTTTATTATCTTAAATGCTTTAAGGAGCACCTCTTAATACAATACCTACATCATTTTCAGCTACTAATGCATTCTCTAAGTGTAATTCTTCTGAATAAACTGCATACATAATACCTACTCCACTATGATATGCAGATAATCCTGATATATATGTACATTTTCCTCCTGGATCTTATCTGACACCAAAACAAGCTAATACGCTTCCTGAACAATGATTATTATAGAATGATGATTAATAAGCATCAGAGCATTTACTTGCCATAACAAAGAAACCAGTATCTTAAGAACCCTATCCAACATTTCCAGATACATCAACAATATCCCTTGTCATTTAAGTTGGTGTTAATTCATCCATAAAAACAAAGTTACCAAATACTGCCCAATTTGCAATACCACCATCTTATAATACCCTCTTTTTAACATAGATCAATGCATTATTCTAGAATTTCACATATTAACTGTTATTAATCTACACCAAAGCTTTGATACCAGTAAAGAATATATTATTCTTAATTGTAATATATTATGAATCTTAAATTGTCATTAACATACCTGTAGTATCATGGAATGAACATCCAATAACTTCACTTGGAGTCTTAATAATATCACTATTTAAATTTCTAAAATCTAATCCACTTCTTTAAGTATCATATTGACCACAATTATTAAATTCAACACCATGTAAAACAGTGTATCCTCTTCTTGGGAATCCTAAATTAGCTTCAGGTTCTTCAAATTAATAAATTAAAACTCTGCATCCTAAACCATGAATACTAGGTCCTCCTTCAATCTTAATCTTTCTAGTTAAATGTCCAACAACAGCTCTCATATCTAATTGGCCAATTCCAGGCTTATCAATAGTTACAGAAGGAGCTCCATAATGATCAAATTCAAGAGCTTAATTTAAAGTTATAACACATCCAGAAATAGATGCAATAGATCTCTTTTCTCTTTATTCTGGATCACTACCTGAAGGACCAAATACTATCTCATCACCAACAGCCCATCCAGCACATTCAGCAACAGTAACAGTAGTTGCACCAGCATCTGCATAAACAACTAATCTAGTCCATACTGTTCCAGGTGGAGTTGAATATAATTCCATAGCTCTAGTAACAGCAAGTACTTTATTTCCAACATCTAAATTAGCATCAATTACTAATGGATTATCTCCAAATTCACCATTCAATACAATATTAATCTTTCCAGGGAATGGATGAGTTGAATTACCAGCTAATAGTTTACCTGATCTAACCCAGATTCTCTCTGCTTCTAATTTAGTGGATGCTCTTCTCTCATCAAAAATAAGTGATCCCAAAATAGTTAAATTAACAAGTTTAGGTGGATCAACATCTAAGATAACTTGATATGCTGCTTAAACAATAGGACTATCTCCTTCGACTGGTACTTTGTTATCTATCCATGTAGCAGGATCGCTCCAATATCTATATCCATCTTCTAATGGTACATCTCCCAAACTATCACATTCTTCTCTACAAATAACTCCTCTGAACTCAATATATTCATATTACTTCTTATTCTTACCAGATAAACAAAGGAAGACTAATTTATTTGTTCTATCATTAAACCAATCACCTTAATTACATGTTTTAGTATCTGGAATTTATTCTAATTTTGTGTAATTAACTGGGAATTATCCTCCTATGTTTCTCATGATATCAAATGTTTCTCTATTAGCTGAATAATTGAATCTAAGAATAACAGCATCATCAGCTTAATTAAAGTATGGGGATGCAAAGATACCCATACTTAATGGATCACTTGCTCCGAATTTGAAATGAACATTATAAGTGAAACCAGTTGCAAATATACTTGCATATGATTATTTAACATCTTTACTCTTCTTTATAATTTTCATAGTTTCAGCTTCTATATATTTACTTTCATCAATTGAAGCATCCATTTTGAGTGCAATATTAGTGTTGTCTAATCTAAAGAGCTTCATATCAGTTCCTGTGAAATCTTGAGTAGGAGTAGGATTATTGACTAGAACATCCCTTATTGTAACTTAATTCATAGCACAAATAATAGAATCATCCCAATAATCTTCTGGATGATTAACACATCCTGGAATTCCATCAATATGCTTCTTATATGGTATAATATAAGCTCCTCCAGTCACTCCTGAAATAGAACCATCTTAATCCCAAAAGATTTCTCTTCTATGTTTCTACCAAAAGATACGATTAGCTGAATCAGAGTTAAATACTTTGATATTTAAGAATTAAGTGTTTTTACCTCCTTATACCCATAATTTAACATTCCAACATACAGAACATGATTCAATTAAAGCAGAATTACTTCCATAATTATAAATTCTGATATTTTTAGCTAAAAATCCATTTGTTCTTGGTACAACCATAGCTCTTGATCCATCATAATAAGTATCATCAGGATTTGCATTATTAATTGATTTACCTATAATTAAAGCATTATCTAAAACTGCTCCTTCAGCTGAGAAATTACCTTTGTGAGCTTAGAAACCAGCAAATTTAGAATCAGCAATCATAATATCCTTGAAATAAATGTTACCCAATTCTTCTCCTAAAATACCACATTCATTATTTTTCCAAGTATAGAATTTTTCAAAAACTGCTTAAAGACTTGGATTGTCAATAAATGGTTAATCATTATCCCAATTTTCTGGATCAATACAAGGGAATTTTCTTGGTGCCATTTAGAAAATACGAAGACCAAATCTACCATTTGAATGTGCCCAATTATCCTTAAACTCAAGAATATTTAATCCTGGGGGACAAATATCTGAAGTAGCTGATGGACCATCTGGATTTGTTTTAATTTCATACCAAAATCCATACCATTCTGAACCTCCTGATCTATTTCTTCTTAAAATATTTTATGGATTTGTAACCCAATAAGTAGCAACAGTAATATCTGTTTATAACATGATCCAACTTTATTTAGTACTTGCAACAAGATTATCTTCAACAACATTATTTGTTTCAATACCATCTTCAAAGAAAATAGCATGTCCAAAAGTATTGTAACAAACATTTTTTTAAACTTTCAAATAATGAACACCATGAATAGTCAAACAACGAGCATAACAATCATGAATAGCATTACCAACAACATATGATTCATCTACTTCTCCATTCAAGTGGAAATGAACAGGATATCTACCAATAATTCTTGGTTAACCACCATATCTGAATTCTGCATATGATATTTTACCAATTGNTATCAGTTCCTGTGAAATCTTGTTCTGGAGTAGGATTATTAATCAAAACATCTCTAATAGTAACTTAATTCATTGCACAAATAATAGAATTATCCCAATAAGCTTCTGGATGAACAACACATCCTGGAATTCCATCAATATGTTTCTTATATGGTATAATATATGCTCCTCCAGTTACTCCTGATATAGTACCATCTTAATCCCAAAAGATTTCTCTTCTATGTTTCTACCAGAAAATACGATTAGCTGAATCAGAATTAAATACTTTGACATTCAAGAATTAGGTATTTTTACCTCCTTATACCCATAATTTTGGAGTCCAACATACAGAACATGATTCAATTAAAGCAGAATTACTTCCATAATTATAAATTCTGATGTTTTTAGCTAAAAATCCATTTGTTCTTGGTACAACCATAGCTCTTGATCCATCATAATAAGTATCATCAGGATTTGCATTGTTAATTGATTTACCAATAATTAATGCATTATCTAAAACAGCTCCTTCAGTTGAGAAATTACCTTTGTGAGCTTAGAAACCAGCAAATTTAGAATCAGCAATCATTATATCTTTGAAGTAAATGTTACCCAATTCTTCCCCTAAAATACCACACTCATTATTTTTCCATGTATAGAATTTTTCGAAAACTGCTTAAAGACTTGGATTGTCTATATATGGTTAATCATTAGTCCATTTTGCTGGATCTAAACAAGGGAACTTTCTTGGTGCCATTTAGAAAATACGAAGACCAAATCTACCATTTGAATGTGCCCAATTATCCTTAAACTCAAGTATATTTAATCCTGGAGGACAAATATCTGAAGTAGCTGATGGACCATCTGGATTTGCTTTAATTTCATACCAAAATCCATACCACTCTGAACCTCCTGATCTATTTCTTCTTAATATATTTTATGGATTTGTAACCCAAAAAGTAGCCACAGTAATATCTGTTTATAACATGATCCAACTTTATTTAGTACTTGCAACAAGGTTATCTTCTACGACATTGTTTGTTTCAATACCATCTTCAAAGAATATAGCATGTCCAAAAGTATTGTAACAAACATTTTTTTAAACTTTCAAATAATGAACACCATGAATAGTTAAACAACGAGCATAACAATCATGAATAGCATTACCAACAACATATGATTCATCTACTTCTCCATTCAAGTGGAAATGAACAGGATATCTACCAATAATTCTTGGTTAACCACCATATCTGAATTCTGCATATGATATTTTACCAATTGCTCCTTTCTCTGCTCTTCCATGAATCATTAAATGATAACCATATTTCAAATCTGATTCTTCACCTTGAATAACAATATTTCTAGTTAATAAACCTACTTCAACTTTCATAGGGAATTAATCTGTTCCATAAGTTTCAACAGCTGAATAATGTTTATGAGTAAGTGGTTAATCAAGAGTCAAAGTTTTTTTGTCAGCACTAACAGCAGTAATGTATCTTTTTTCACTTTGCATATGTTCAACTTCACTGGAAGTAATAACAATTTATTCTCCCACTTACCAGTCTACTGCATCATCTACTGTAATTTGAGTTGCTCCAGCTTATGCAGTGCTTGATAAAAGTGTCCATGTTGGAGTTCTCTCTTTTCCATGAATAGTTAATTAACATTAATGACATCCTAAAACTTTATTACCCATAGCAGGCATTTATACATCTTCTTCAACACCATATAAAGTAATCTATACTTTATGTTAATGAGCCACCTATTCTGTACCAATGTTGAATTTACCTTCTCTAATAACAATAAAATGAGCATCCATAGATGTATCTAATTCATCAGAGAATGTGAGAGTTCCTTCAACTAAAACTTACATCAATTTAGGTGTTTTAACATCAACAATCAAAGTTTATCCAGCATTAACAATAACAGAATCTCCATTTCCTGGATATTCATATCCACCCCAAGTATTAATATCTGACCATTTGGTAGCATAAATGAATTATTGATTATTAACTGCCAAGTTTCCATTAACTCTAACTTAAAATACTCCATTTAATTGAGTTTATTCTAGATCTTTAACTCCAGTTTTACATTTAATTTCAGTTGCTGTAACACTTTCTATAACACATGTGACTCCATCAATAGTGACTGTAGTTTATGCATTTACAAATCCAGTACCAGTAATTGTAATTACTGCTTCTTCAGTGAATCTGCCTGTAGCTGGACTGACAGTGTTAACAACTGGAACACTAGTTGATGAGTAACTAACAGCATTTGATACTGTACCAATAGCTTATCCATTTACTGAAATTTCTGCATTACATGATGTTGGAATAGAGTATGCATTATTACTATTTGATAAAACCCATCCTTTTAATTCAATTTCTGCTAATTAACAAGATGAACCACTTGAACCTCTTGAATCAAATAATCTGATTGCTTTAATTCCTGTGATATCAGTTTGAGGTACATAAATATTCCAACCAGTATGTACAGTTTAATCAACTGTTAATAAAGTCTACCAAGTAGTACCATCTGTTGTATATTAGAATACTGCATCTTTCAATTGAATTGCTTATTTATCAATTCTAGGAATATATCTCAATTAATGTAATTTTAAAACTCTATTTGATCCAAAGTCAACTTGAATATAACAATTTGAAGCTGCACTAGAAGTGTAATAAGTTGATTATAGTAAATCAAAGAAATTAGAAACTGATGTTGCTGTATCAGCTAATAATGTAACTTCTGATGGTTTAATATATCTTGCAGGTTCTTATAAGGCAGAATATTGATTTAAAACAGATGTTGTCAATAATTTTGGAGCTTCACATGATAGTGTTGTATATGTTGCACTTGTTATAGGACAGTTAAATCCACAGAGTTTGACTGAATTTTAATCTTTGACTGAATCAAAACCAGTTCCTGTAAATGTTACAGTAGCACCACCAGCATAGGATACTGATGGATTATTTGAAGTTGGTTGAGATGTGCTAACAATTAATTTCTATTTAGTAACATCACTAATATAAGCATAATTAGTATCAATTAATAAATTAATTGAGTAAACTCCTGCAGGTAAATTTGAAAAAGTAGCTGTTACTGAAGTATCAGATAATGCAGAAGTAGTTCCAACAATCTTATGACCCATATGTTCCAATGTAGCTACAATAGTAGTACCAGTAAGTCTGATACCAGTGAATACAAGAACAACATTTCCTGCTGTGGCTAAATAAGCCTTTTGAGTCGTATCATAAGTAGCACCACTAATTGCTGTGAATGTTGGAGAACTAGAAGAAGGAGTTATTGTTAATGTATATGTAGCTGTTAAAGGAACTGCTGAATTATTTTCAGAAGGTAATTAGGATAGGGTTACAGTGGCAGATAGTACTGATTATCTTGGCATTCTACATTTAATTTAGATAGTGGAGACTACTTCTATTTCAGTACAAAATGTTGTTCCGATTTTTATAGTAGGAGATTTATCGGCATTAAATCCAGCTCCATTAATTGTTAATATTTATCCACCAATAACAGCATTATCTATAGATGTAATGGTTAATCCAATCACAGTTACCCAAATCTTATCTGCATAACCATTTTCAGTTAAAACATAAGTAGAATATTATCCTTAAGGTAAATTTGGAATTGTATAGGTAAATGATGTTCCAGAAAGAGTTGCTGCTACTGTTTATGTAATTGGACCTTTGAATACTACTGAAACTGTATTTGTTAATCCTGTTCCAGATAATGTTTCTGTATCTCCTGGAGCATAAGTCTTTTATTAACTTAAAACTAAATCAGCAGATGTTAACATATCTCTTCTTGGCGATTTACCAAGATTTAAAATATGATTATGGCCTTGTTTTTTTGATTCTTCTGTCCATAAAAATCTCTTTCTTTAAACTAGTTTTTGATAATCTGGTTTTTAATGATCAGATTCTGTCAAAATTCTAGATCCTGTAAATTAAGTAGAGGAAGCTGGATAATTATCAAGAGTTGGTGTTAATGTACTATCATAAGTAAATAAGCAATTATTTGTAGTATCAAGACATGTTGATTCAAGTGTGACTTATAATGTTACAACAACTAATTAGGCTTATTAACTGTAGTATTCAAATTTTGGTGGAACAGTACAATAAATGACTTCACTTGTGAATCTACTTTCATCAATTTCACAGATCCAATTAATAGCTACACCAACAAATACAATAGTTTCACCTTAGACAAAATTAGATCCTGTTATTTTAATAACTGTTCCTCCAGCTTCTGAACCTTTAGCCTAACTAGTGCCATCTTCTAAGGTAACACTTGTAATAGGAATGATATATTTAAATAAGTTATCATCAGCATTAGCATAAGAATTACCATAATCTTTTCTTGTAATAGTAACTCTATATTGACCTGGCATTCCTCCTCTTAAATAAACTTTGATTGAAGTATCTGTAACAGAAATAACTTTTGCATTATATGATTTGGTTCCTACAAGAGTAACTTTAACATCATCAATAACAGTTCCAAAATTAGTTCCTGTAATTGTCATTTCTCCTTTGAATATTGGTGTTTTTGCATTGAATTCTAAAGATTAAACTTATATTCTTAAATTATCATCATATGAAAATAAACTACTAGCAAGTGTCTTTTCATTGAATGATAAAGAAATTGCTCCAGTTCCTCCAACTGCTTTCTTTGGAGTAACAAAAACAATTTAAGTATTAGTTATTGATAATGGATGAACATCTTAGCCATCAATTTAGAATGTAAAATCTCTATTTAAATTTTTAGGGAAACCAGTACCAGTAACAGTAATAGTAGTACCACCATCTGGTGATCCTGTGGCTGGTAAAATTGAAGATATAACCAAATTAATGCTTTCTCCTGTTACTCCAGCATCAATTTTAGAGAAACCAATAGCTTTATGATGTACAGCAGGTACTTAATTATCACCAGCTTCTTTAATATTCTATGTATCCAATTATTCTAAACTACATGTTATAGAATATGGTGAAGTATTAGTTGAGAATTAAATGTTTGTACAATCAGCTCCAGCAAATGAAATTTCTAAGTCTGTTTATGCTATTGGTAATCCAACTCCTTCTGATAAAGTTAATGATAATTGAGATCCTGTAACTGAATATGCTGTTAAAGTTGGAGTCTTTTCATCACTTAAAGTGAAATCACATGCCTCTACTTATTCGCAACCAGCTAAAATTTATTCAGTTTCTACAACAACATTATTTTCTTTTATTTCGTATTAAACTTGAACTTGAACTTATGGATGTTAGCTATAAGTAAATAATAATTCATTTGGTATAGGTTCAAATAATAAATTAGTACTATCTGGAATTGGTTTAGTAACAGCAGCAGTTACATCTCCATTTCCTGAAACAAGAAGACTACTTGAAACTGAAAAATCAGTTAATAGATCAACATTTGACCTAAATATAATATACCATTTTTATCCATCTTATGGTCTTCCAACAGTCCAAACAAAAGGTCTTTATCCAGTAAGTCTTTCAACATTATCAGCAATTAATGATGATGAAGCATCAAAAGGTAAATCATAAACATTTGAAGATACTTAGAATAAATTATCTATTCCATTAATTGTCATTGTTAATTAAAAGGTTCCACTAATTGGATCAAGAGGTTCTTAAGTTCTTTCTATATTTTAGACAACAGTTCCTCCATTAAGTGTTGATGAAACTATCTTAGGAAGTGCTCTATATTGAGTAGTACCTCTATGAGAATCAAATGTAATAGTATATTTGTATCCAGCAAAGGTTGTTGCAGCATCATCTAAAACAGCTCCAGTATTATCTAATTTTGTAGCAGTAACAGTTACTAAATAACTTCCACCACAACTTTAAATTGCATTTTTAATAGCATTTGCAGAAGCACTTGCTGTAATATCTCCAGTAGTATAAGAATAATATAAACTAGTTTATGGTGTTGTTTTTGTACCATAAGTAAATTAAAGTTAATACTTACCTGCTAATAAAGTATTTCCAACTGAATTATATAAAGTAAATTCAATGATTTCTTTAACTGGTGTATAAGATGTTGAAATTTCATAGATACTATTCAATGAATTAGATTTTCTAGTAGCACTTTCAACTTCCATAGAAAGAGTAAGATAACCACTTGATCCACCATTAAGATGATAAGCTTCAATATAATAATATTCTCCTTCTTATAAAGATACAGTTTCAGATATAGATTTGATAGTGTTAGAATAANAGTATTAGTTATTGATAATGGATGAACATCTTAGCCATCAATTTAGAATGTAAAATCTCTATTTAAATTTTTAGGGAAACCAGTACCAGTAACAGTAATAGTAGTACCACCATCTGGTGATCCTGTGGCTGGTAAAATTGAAGATATAACCAAATTAATGCTTTCTCCTGTTACTCCAGCATCAATTTTAGAGAAACCAATAGCTTTATGATGTACAGCAGGTACTTAATTATCACCAGCTTCTTTAATATTCTATGTATCCAATTATTCTAAACTACATGTTATAGAATATGGTGAAGTATTAGTTGAGAATTAAATGTTTGTACAATCAGCTCCAGCAAATGAAATTTCTAAGTCTGTTTATGCTATTGGTAATCCAACTCCTTCTGATAAAGTTAATGATAATTGAGATCCTGTAACTGAATATGCTGTTAAAGTTGGAGTCTTTTCATCACTTAAAGTGAAATCACATGCCTCTACTTATTCGCAACCAGCTAAAATTTATTCAGTTTCTACAACAACATTATTTTCTTTTATTTCGTATTAAACTTGAACTTGAACTTATGGATGTTAGCTATAAGTAAATAATAATTCATTTGGTATAGGTTCAAATAATAAATTAGTACTATCTGGAATTGGTTTAGTAACAGCAGCAGTTACATCTCCATTTCCTGAAACAAGAAGACTACTTGAAACTGAAAAATCAGTTAATAGATCAACATTTGACCTAAATATAATATACCATTTTTATCCATCTTATGGTCTTCCAACAGTCCAAACAAAAGGTCTTTATCCAGTAAGTCTTTCAACATTATCAGCAATTAATGATGATGAAGCATCAAAAGGTAAATCATAAACATTTGAAGATACTTAGAATAAATTATCTATTCCATTAATTGTCATTGTTAATTAAAAGGTTCCACTAATTGGATCAAGAGGTTCTTAAGTTCTTTCTATATTTTAGACAACAGTTCCTCCATTAAGTGTTGATGAAACTATCTTAGGAAGTGCTCTATATTGAGTAGTACCTCTATGAGAATCAAATGTAATAGTATATTTGTATCCAGCAAAGGTTGTTTCAGCATCATCTAAAGCAGCTCCAGTATTATCTAATTTTGTAGCAGTAACAGTTACTAAATAACTTCCACCACAACTTTAAATTGCATTTTTAATAGCATTTGCAGAAGCACTTGCTGTAATATCTCCAGTAGTATAAGAATAATATAAACTAGTTTATGGTGTTGTTTTTGTACCATAAGTAAATTAAAGTTAATACTTACCTGCTAATAAAGTATTTCCAACTGAATTATATAAAGTAAATTCAATGATTTCTTTAACTGGTGTATAAGATGTTGAAATTTCATAGATACTATTCAATGAATTAGATTTTCTAGTAGCACTTTCAACTTCCATAGAAAGAGTAAGATAACCACTTGATCCACCATTAAGATGATAAGCTTCAATATAATAATATTCTCCTTCTTATAAAGATACAGTTTCAGATATAGATTTGATAGTGTTAGAATAAGTCAAATATTCATACCAATAATTTCTATATGGATTCCAACCACTATAAGCTGTTGCTGTATCTGGTCTAATTGGTTTTTTAATTTCAGTTGTTTAAATAAAGAATTATGCACAATCATCTGAAGCAACATAAAATCTATAATTTCCAGTAAATGGTGCTTTTAAGAAACCTCTAAAATATTATCCATAATATTCTCCAAATTAATTTTATACATCTGGTTCTGGATAAATTCCATTAAATTAAATTCTACTATCTAATTAAGCTTAATTAGTAATAATTTAAGTTCTAAAGGTAGCACAATTTAAATTTAAACCTGAAATATCCCATCTAGTATAATGTAATCCACTTCCTTAAATATAAACAGAACTTTCAGTAGCATCAGCAATAGTTGGTAAATTACTTAATTTTGGTATTTTAGCATTAATAGTTGTAGGTGTTGATGATAATACTTAAATAGTTTCAGATTAACCTGAAATTTTAACTGTATTCTCAGATGCAATAGGACTAAATCCATATCCTGAAATTTATAAGATTTATCCTTCTGGTGATGCAAAATTAGTATTAATTTCTGTAATTAATGGAAGAACTCTAAAAATAATAAATTATATAATTACTTTGAGTCGTATGTTCTGTCAGAATAAACTTTTTTTTATTTAACTCCTACATCATTAGTTTGATATCCACTTTATGATTTAATAGTATAATCATAATATCCTGCTTAGATTTCAGCTGAAACTTAGCATACAACTTGATCATCCCAGAAATTAATTTCATCTGGATACAAATCTTAAACTGTAAATCTGTCACATCTATTAGCTCCCATAAATTGTCCTTCTAATTATTAAACAACTGAGCTAGAGACTGCCCACTTAGCTCTCCAATAACTTAGTGTTCTTGGATAATTTGATCTTGGACTCACATAAAATAATTTTGGTGTATAATGTTAAGAGTATGTGAAATGGCATTATGCACTACTAAATGTACAAACAGAGTCTGGTTTACCTGATACCTTAACAACAATTTCTAAGTTAGATAAGTTATTGTCATCTGGATCTGGTTTTGTTGTTTTGCAGTTCATGAACAATCCGTTGACTCCCTTATCAGAAATAACACAAGGATACTTTCCAATATATACAGCATTATTACTAGCTGTTTAATCTAATCCTTATACCTAATATTGTTATATGATATTATTACTTTCATGTATAATGTTGTGCCTCCCACCATGGAACCTATAGGAGTGGAGTTTTCTTTCCCCAAAATTGTAGAGACAGCAAGAATAATAACTGCGTCGGTTGTTGAATCCATTGTTGCATCCATCATAGCTAAAATATACTACTAACTTTTTAACCTTCTGATTAATTGCTCAAGAGCAATAATAGCATAGTCGAAAGTGTGCTGATAAACATAATTTTGTTTTTTAAAATAAAAATATTAAGTCTTTCAAAAAATATCTAAGAGCCTTTAATACCCCCAGAAATATCTAAATTAAAAATATCAAAAATTTCAAGTATAAATATAGATTAATAACAGTTTTGAATGCATGTATAAAATTATATACTGCTAGGTTAATTTGATTCTATTATAAGCACATCAGCACACTTCTTTACTGTTATATCAGCACTAATGGATCAGAGATGTAATGATTTACGAATCTAATTTACATAATCAATAAAATTAATAATCACTATGTATGGCTTAAATAAGAGCAAAAGAGGATAAAATTCATCATTAATTTAAATTATATAAACATAGAAAAAACTTTAATATTTTTGTACTTATTATCTTATTGTAATATAAAATTAGAAATATTGCGGTTAAATAAATTTTATAAAATTTTTAATAAATTAAAGGAATTATTTTTATTAAGAAACCCCCTTATAAAATATAAAAAGTTTCCTAAAATTATTAGAAATATTTTCTCTATGTGATTCAATAATTGAAATGTTTACAGAATTTAGCTAATCAAATCAACATAGACACAATATATTTGGTAATTAGATTCGTTTTTGAAATTTTATCTATTCTTGAGATACCTGCTCATGATTAATTATATTTNTAGCATACAACTTGATCATCCCAGAAATTAATTTCATCTGGATACAAATCTTAAACTGTAAATCTGTCACATCTATTAGCTCCCATAAATTGTCCTTCTAATTATTAAACAACTGAGCTAGAGACTGCCCACTTAGCTCTCCAATAACTTAGTGTTCTTGGATAATTTGATCTTGGACTCACATAAAATAATTTTGGTGTATAATGTTAAGAGTATGTGAAATGGCATTATGCACTACTAAATGTACAAACAGAGTCTGGTTTACCTGATACCTTAACAACAATTTCTAAGTTAGATAAGTTATTGTCATCTGGATCTGGTTTTGTTGTTTTGCAGTTCATGAACAATCCGTTGACTCCCTTATCAGAAATAACACAAGGATACTTTCCAATATATACAGCATTATTACTAGCTGTTTAATCTAATCCTTATACCTAATATTGTTATATGATATTATTACTTTCATGTATAATGTTGTGCCTCCCACCATGGAACCTATAGGAGTGGAGTTTTCTTTCCCCAAAATTGTAGAGACAGCAAGAATAATAACTGCGTCGGTTGTTGAATCCATTGTTGCATCCATCATAGCTAAAATATACTACTAACTTTTTAACCTTCTGATTAATTGCTCAAGAGCAATAATAGCATAGTCGAAAGTGTGCTGATAAACATAATTTTGTTTTTTAAAATAAAAATATTAAGTCTTTCAAAAAATATCTAAGAGCCTTTAATACCCCCAGAAATATCTAAATTAAAAATATCAAAAATTTCAAGTATAAATATAGATTAATAACAGTTTTGAATGCATGTATAAAATTATATACTGCTAGGTTAATTTGATTCTATTATAAGCACATCAGCACACTTCTTTACTGTTATATCAGCACTAATGGATCAGAGATGTAATGATTTACGAATCTAATTTACATAATCAATAAAATTAATAATCACTATGTATGGCTTAAATAAGAGCAAAAGAGGATAAAATTCATCATTAATTTAAATTATATAAACATAGAAAAAACTTTAATATTTTTGTACTTATTATCTTATTGTAATATAAAATTAGAAATATTGCGGTTAAATAAATTTTATAAAATTTTTAATAAATTAAAGGAATTATTTTTATTAAGAAACCCCCTTATAAAATATAAAAAGTTTCCTAAAATTATTAGAAATATTTTCTCTATGTGATTCAATAATTGAAATGTTTACAGAATTTAGCTAATCAAATCAACATAGACACAATATATTTGGTAATTAGATTCGTTTTTGAAATTTTATCTATTCTTGAGATACCTGCTCATGATTAATTATATCTTATTAATTTGACTCAATATATAATAGCTTTAATTTTATCTTTATATTATTTAATATATTATTATAAAATATTAAGAAAATTATTTTTTTATTTATTTTGTTTAAATCAGAGGATTAAATATAATTATTGTCATATACTATATTGTTTTTAAATATATAATATTCTTCTAAAAATAAAATGTAATTATTCAACTTTTACTGCAAATTTCTAATATTCTTCTATTAGCTTCACATTGGTCTTAAGATTTTGAAGCAAACTCAAATTTGGATTGACTTACGAATGGATTGATTCCAATGTTGCTGATTCCAAATGGTAAACTTGATTATTGTATAGGTAATTTTATTAAAGGGATAGACTATCTTGGCTTAAATTATTCTTAATAACTTGAATTAGAGTAAACTAATTTGTCCTTACTATTAATATGCAATCTTTTATTCATGATTTTCGAGAAATTTGAGAATTCATGTTCTCTTTAGTTTTATCGTAATTTATATTCTCTTTAATATTAAGAGATATTATCCATTTTTGCAGGAAGTAATTATATTTGATTAACTGGTCTTAGCTATTAAGGAGGATCTGTAAATTTGTTAGGATATTATAAGGCATATGAATTACAGCCTGCAAAAGGTATTTTTAATTATGGTAAATGCTATTTTTCATCAGTATGGCCTTGAGATATTTATTTAGGTGTAAAGTCTTCATCATAAACTGAATTTTATGAGAAGGCTCTTCTTCTCTTAGGCTCTTCTATTATTATAGGTCTGGCCTTTGGTAAAACTGAGTATCTTAATTGGAAATCGGTTTCATAAACACTCTTTAATTTATTATGGTAAGATTGTTTTATTGGTTGTGGTTTACATAAACAATTTCCACATAAGCAAACACCACAAAGACATGTTCCTTCTGAGTGTTGAAATTATGGATTTTATTAATTGAGAAGTTGTTATTTGCTTATTATCATTTTTATTATATTAGAATAGATAATTAATGCATAATAAAAATTCTTTGTTCTTTTTATATTAATTCTTAAGCCTTGACTCAAGATATTTAATAATACAATGAATTTGATTGACTAGAAGTTGATCATCTTCTTTTTAGATAATCTAGAATTTTCTAATAATAAACTTTTTAAAAAGAAAGACAAAATCCAAATAAATTAATTTACATATAATTATAATTAAATAATTAATATTATATTATTGATTTGGTCATTTAAAGTTGTCCAAATAAAAATTTAATAGAGATTAATATAAATATTCATATAAAAATTTGTAGATGAATCAATAATAAATCATAAAGATACTTTGTTTATTAAATAATACTTATATATCTATTGTTAATTATAATAAAATTAGAGATAACATAATTTTTGATTTATTCTTAAATAAAACAGACTTTACAAATAATTTCATCTGATGCTAGATGGAATTTGATTTAAAATCTATGACAGTAATTCAAATAAAAATTAAGCAAATAATTCAACAAAAACAAAAAAACTTCTCATAATTGGAGAATGACATATTTAAAAAGATAAATTATCATTAAATTCATAGTCCTATATATATATATGTAATCAATGTTTTTAAATTAATCCATAAAGACAATCTAAAATTTATCTTAACTATTCTTAAGTTTTTACACTTAGATCAACTGTTCTTTCATCAAGAAATATTGAAAAGCATAACCATAAAATATCTGATTTTGGTTTATACAATCTAAATGTTTCTGTATTAGCTCCTTTTTCCATTTTAGTAATTTTATTAATTGAGTATATCTTAGTAATTTTATGTTCTAAATTTCTAAATATAATTAACTTTAGATCTGGAGAAACTTATAATATCCTTCTCTTTTTACCAAATAATGTCTTACGACTATACTTTGTAACTTATATTCCTTAAATTAATATTTCAATTTAATCTATTGACCATTAACTAATATTTGATTAATCAAAAGATTATTAATGAATTTATTAACTTATTTAAACATTAGATATAGATAAGTCTTAATTTTCATTTTTTACAGATTATATAGATTATGCACTCTATTAATCTATTTAAGTTTTTTATACACTAAAAATATTTTGTGTTATTCTTTAAGAGTTACTATCTAATTGATTTTCTTGTATTGAACTATCCTTTAAGATTTGTTCTGATTTTAGATCTGAAATTTTTAATGTGTGCTCCTATTAATTTTCATGATTTTTTGTATAAAACTATTATTAATGACTTTCCTTTCTTTCAAAATTACTTATATTATTTTCAGGAAAGGATTTAAGACTTTCTTCACTTGATTCTATTTCATCTGATTATCCTTCATCAATTTTTAACTATCCACTTTCATCTATATATTTTTCTAGTTCTCTTCTGATAACTTTGTTATTTTGTTTGAAAAATTAAGGAGTATTTTATATTCCAAAGACAATTTCTGCTTAAATAGGCTACTAAAATTATGCTTCTTAAATTGATTAATCAACTGGAGTGCTAATAGTAAATTGTGATGTTTTAATAAATTGTTTTTAATTTTCATCACATTATACAGGAGTAAAATTAGTTGATAGATTTCTTGATAAAGATAGTGATTCTGAAATGGGGGTATCAAATATTCTATTCCTTGATTATCTCTGATTTTAATGGTTTTGAAACTACATAAATTTAGTTATTTGTTATTTGATTCATTTGAACTATAATTGTTATAATTAATCAGACTAAAATTTTAGCTTAATTTAAAAAATATAAAATCATTAAATTATTTGAATTTCATCTCCTGCAGTTCTTAAACAAGCACATCCATAAAATTCTTTTCCTTCAAACATAACTTCTATTTAAAGAGATAGATTTTAAGTTATATTAATTATTTCCAATTAACCTACATCTAAATCAACATTAATAACAATAATATCATTTGTATTAATTGAAAAATTACTTTCTTTTGAATTCTGATCATCCATATGATTATTATACATAGTTCCATTAGAAGATACTAGATAGGATCCATGTCCTATATCTTAATATCTTTTTAGAGAATGCAAAGTTGATAATTCTGTTATACCTACTGCATACCATGAGCTTTTGACTTATGAACATCTTATTATTATTATATTTTTATATATACTTAAATTTCCAATGTTTTCTTTATTCTGAAATTGGATTATTAAATAAAACAAATCTATCTTTCTTTTTTGATGCTGTTTATTTTACAAAAGCAATTGTCTTCTATAAATTTAAAAAGATATCTGGATCTTTAAATCGATTGGAAAACCTAAAATCCAATTTTTCTTTACTTTATTATTTTATCCTTTTTGTTTAATTCAATTTCTAACAATTATTGTTTTATATTTAGTTTTTACATTTCTTTATCATGTTAGGATTTAATATATATCAAACAATCATTAAATTTATGATCTTCAAATTATTCTCTAATAATTTTTTTATTACAATTTGGACATATTTATGGAAATTTTGGACATTTAGTTTAATGAATATAATAAACACTAAGAGTAAATAATTAAGAACAACCAACACAACAAACAGGTCGTAATGGACATTCATATTCATGTATTAATAATTGTTTTAATGAATATTCTCCTTTACAATATAAACAATTTTCTATGTTCTAATCACAAATAAGAAGATGGTTAGATTGATCCTTTATTTTATTTTATTTATGACATTTTGGACATCTAATTAAAGCCTCTTCACATTTAAGTTCATGAATTTATAATTTAAAGTTACTAAACTAATAGAATTACTTAATATATATAATTTACAAATTAATGACAATGACAACACTCACATTAACGAAAACTACATTCATATTATCTATGTTTTTATATATCCTTCTTAAATTTGACCACATTGCATTTTAATTTACCATCCATTAATCCACAAATTTCTTAACTAAAATCGCATTATTTTATATGTTTATCATAACCATCATAATCAGTTATTTCTTGACAACCTAAAATCATAATTATTTACTTACCCTAATCGAAATGAAGACATTTAATTTTTAATTAACTCAATAATTATCTTAAAAGAGGAAATGCTTTTCTTGTCTCACCTTGTCTATTGCATAAAGGGCATTTTGTACTCTTTTTCATTATCTTTATACACTTACTTATTTCTATTAATGACATTTTTTGCAAAAATGATTCATACATGAGTCACATGATATTGGATCCAAATATACATTTAAACAAATTGGACATTTAATATCATATGGATTGACATTCTTATATATTTTATTATTAAATTTTACATTGCTTTAAACTTATTCAACATCTATAAAGTAATCTTTTAAATCATCTTATTCTTCAAATTATTTTTACATTTTATTATAATATAAAAATTAATATCAAAAGATCTCTACAAATTCATAGTTTATAACAACTAAAGACTTTAAAAAATAATTACTTTAACATATATTAACAAAAAGTTATTAGAAAATATAAATGAAATCTTATCATTTAATAGATATAATTTAAAAATTTTATTAAAGTTTGAATACTAAAAAGAATATAGGAATCAAAATTTATATCAATTATTATTAAGTTTATTAAGAAAAATAAGTTGTTTTTCTATTATATTAAATCAAATGATCAAAAGATATTCAAAATAATTTTAAGAAATCTTTCTATCATATTATTAATTCTTTAAAGAATTATCTATTATGTAATAAATGTTTAGTTTGATTGATTAATAATTATTATTGCACATTTTTTAAAATAAAATTTTCCCGCTTAATTAAAATTTAAAAAAAATAAACATATAGTTGTGCTAAAAGTCCTAATAAATGGACAATTATGGTTTTAGTAAGAAAATGATGGCAAAATTTTCTTTATTAGTTTATCATAAATTCAACATTGGTCCAGGAATTATTTTATCTTTTGCTTCTTCAACTCTTTTGATTAAAGGCAAAATATCATAATCTCCTATAATTTTAATTTCATGATCTGAAAAAATTTAGATCTAAGATTTCCCTTCTATAGGTATGATATTAAGCTATTGTATAATTCATTATAATACTTTTGCATTTTATGGTAACTTAAATATCATGATTGGGAATTGATATATTTTACGTTATTGACCTTGTAGGAAGTCTGATTCGTCTTTTTAGAGAGGTCTAATATAGATATTGTTTAAGTATAATACTTATTTTGATCGATTAAGGTATTTATTCTTTTTGCCTAATCAGTCAATTTTTAAAATAAGATCTTCTTTCTTTTGAGTTCATCATATTGTTATTGCTAATGTATATTATTAAAATGTACTCTTAACATTTCATATCTGTCTCTTGTATCTCTAGCATATCTACTTGTCATATGATTCTATTGAAACATCGATCCTTTTGTTATAATCTTTTTCTGCTTTTCTAGCACTCCTAGAGCAACCATTACATTAATGGAATCATAAACTCTACGTTTGAGGTTTTTACTTTCTGACTAGAAAATATAAAAATTTAATTATTATATTTACAGATAAACTTGATTTACTTATTTCTGAAGCAAGCAAATCTGCCATCTATTTATAAGTGGTTTCTCTTAGTGATCCGACAAGACTGTGAACCTAGCGACTTAAATATTTGAGGCTGTGATGTTTTTTTCTTTCTATAAAAATAATAATAAAATATGGCAAATATTTTACCTTTCTTTTTGTTATTACTCTATTATTAGAAATCGTTTTCTTATTAATCTAACTATAGCTATGAATATGAATCCTGTTTATTTTAATTTGACATCAGAAATCCTATTGAAGAAGGTACTTCTTGGTCTGCAAGTCTTAACAAAGTTTTTTTTGAGCCGTCATCTTATGCAGATTGACTTTTTTGATCACTTCTACTTGTACATTCTGGAATGATTAATTGTCTAATGCATTTTTCTTGAGTCTAGAAAATTAAGGAATTAATAACTTGTTATTGCATCGATGGCGCTCTAATAAACAAAATTTTGTTAATAACATTAAATTTATTCAAAACACATACTAGATATTAACACATAATTTAAAAAATCAAAAGCATTCATATAGCATTGATGAGGTGGTTATTTTTACCTAATACAACACAATAAATATTGTTAAACATAATAAGAAGATCATTGATGATAATCATGAATTATCATTTTTTTAATTTTCAATAAAAAATTATAATTCCCTATATTTAAGGTTAGTACTCTGTGTGGGTATTAATTTTTATTAAGTGAAACATAGCCCTTTCTATTTATTTGATAATGAGATTTAAATTTTTGAAAAATTTTATAACAGATAAAAAAATTATAATTTTAAGTTTTTTTCTAATTAATAAAAGAATAAAAATTTTTATTTTGAGTAATAAACTGTGATTTTTCTCTAAGTAAGTATATAATCCCATTTCAAATAACATTAAACTCAATCCTTTTTTGGATTTCATAAACTCACTCTATTAAAATGAGTAACACTTAAATTGATCAATCATTAGATGAATCTCATAACTTCTCTTAAATTAAAAATAATTATTACAATTCATTGTTGCATACTAAATAACAATCCCTGAAAATATATTCAATTTTTAATATGTCTTTTCTTCTCTTAGAAAGATATTTTTACTTTCTTATTTTATTAATCTTTAATTCTTATTTAAATAAATATTTAGTTTTAATAAATCAATTGTGACTTATATATATACGATAAAAATCAATATTATTCTGTATCTTTTATTTCTAAATGTTTATTTATTTAACTAATATCATTTAATGATTTGAATAAGAATGGAATCATTACAGCAATCTAAAAAAAGTAATAACCTGATAATCGTATAAATATATTTCCTATCAAATTGAATTTACAACCACCTTCATATTTAATATTATCATATTTTCTAAAAAGAAATCAAAACAATATTTTATACTTCTATTTATTTAACATAATTCCAGCAATCTCAGCAATAAGTAATAAACCCCAAATAAAAATTGGTTAATAATACTCTCTTGTTAAATTCCAAGTTTCATTATCAAATTTACAATTACTAATAAAAACTGTTTTTTTAGCAATATAAGGCACACTTGAATTAGTTAAATAGAAAAAATAATAAAAAACAATCCAAAATTAATGTTCTAAATAAGCACCATGTTTTCCCTTTTCAAATAAAAAATAATAATACTTTTAAAGATTTTTTGGTTTCACTCATTTTTGTAATGAATTATAAATCAGGAATTAAATAGAAAATCCATCTTCTAAGAAATATTGTTAGAAACATAGAAGAATTATTAGCTCTCATTATGCCAAGCATTAAAATATTATACCAAAATTCAAATGTCCAAATATCAACTATGTTTAAAATTCTATTAATATTATTAATATATAACCCTATTTTCATGCCAAGAATTATTAATTAGAGTTAGTATATATATAATTCAGCAAATTAAGTTTAATTGTAAATATAATCCATAAAAATTTCCATAATCCAATCAAATAAGGGATAAAGATATAAGAAACTTTGCATTCCAGATATTTTACCTTAACGATCTTAAAGTGATTCAACAACATTAGGAATAGCATAATAAATGAACACCATCAACATTAATAAAGCAAAATCATATAAAAATACTCCTGCTCCTTTTTTAAAAACTATATTCCAATCTTTTACTCTAAAAGTATTCAATAAAACTACAACTCCTATGCAATAAACTCTATTTATAAATTTAATAAAAATTACAATATCACATAAACATAATCTTAATTATTTTCTATCCAGATAACTAAAATGAAATCAAAGATAATTGTAAACAAAAATAAAAATATGTATTCTGTAACAGGTTCTTTATGTTTTAAATTACTTGAACCCATAGCCAATCTACATAAGAATTATTTTCTATATACTATCAAACCTAATTTCCACATCTAATTTGATATTTAATTAAATTACTATAAGTTATCTAGCCCATGACCAAAGTTTAGCTCCAAAACCATTACAAATACAATATTACTCTGGTAAATAACAAAATTAATCTATTGCTCGCTATAAGAAACTATATTTAAACTAAACACATACTAATTTATGACATATAGAATGAACACTATTAATAAAGGTAATGCTGTTTAAAGAAGAACATGAGTTAAATAGTTGTCAATCATTGGAGGCATAATTTCACTGACTTAATTTCCTATTCTATCATAATAAAAGGAATTAGCCTTATTTCTACTATTAGGTGTTGTTCTCTATTTAGATATATTAGTAAAAACGGAGATGCCATCAAATGATCTATCTATTCTGCTTTTTGAGGCTGATATTTATTATTATTATTAATAAGGTTGGAAAGGTTAGAATACTTAAGATTATGATCGAGATTGCTAAAGTTATTATTATTGAAGTTTGACTGGACTTGAAACCTTTTAAATTGGTTCTTAATCTTGAATAGTTTGTAGATCGATTTATTGTTGATTAATTGGAGCTTAAAGACTAATATTTTGACTTTCTAATCTTTAATTTTGATTAATGATCTAATCATAGTTGTAATTGAACATTTAAGATTCTTCATCATATTAAGATCTATCATTTTTGGGATTTACTTCTTGGATGGATGAAAGAGATTGTTCAGAATTGATTGATTATTCATGTTCATTTTTTTCTTTTAATATAATGAATAATACTAACTCTCAATTGGATATTGATATTTGAATGTAGATTGAAATTAAGACTTATTACTAGAATATCCTTTGGATGCACTATCTGAATTGACTTCTCTAATTTGAGGATTCTTTTATGATGAGTCCATAAATAATTTGAAAATTCGTTAATATATTATTATTATTATATGAAACACTAATATTCAAAATAGTAGGACTCTTAAGATTATGATTAAGTGCATGGGATTGAAGATTTTAAAGATTTATTTTAGTTAGCATCTATAAATGATGGATCAAGTTTGAAAAGAGTTTAGAAATGGGGAGGAGATTAAGGTTTAGCAAAATAATTGAAATCACATTAGTTGGTATATAAAATTAGTTAATAAAGATAGAAAGGGATTGATTCAGAAGCTTAAATAATAGAGAATAGAGAGAAATATGGTAACAATGATCCAATAGAGAAGGAATCTGAATCCTTATGTGATTTAATTTTGGAATGTTTTGGAGATACAATGCTTTAGATTTTATTATTGGCAGCTTTTGTAAGTACAATAATAGGAATGATAAATGAAGGTGTAGCAACTGGATGGACAGAAGGGTATTTAAAAATAGTTATAAGTTAAATAGTGCAACAATATTTTTTGCTGTATTTTTGATAGTTTCAATAACAGCTGGTAATAATTATTTAAAAGAAAGACAATTTTAGTAATTGAGAAAAAGATTAGATGATGGAATAGTATAAGTAGTAAGAGGTGGAATAGTTGAGATATCAATAAAAGAAATAGTAGTAGGTGATATACTTTAATTTAGTATTGGAGATATGTTTGCAGTAGATGGTATAAATAATAATTATATTAAAAATATAGGTTTAATGATTTAAGGATCTTCAGTAAAAGTAGATGAATCTGCAATGACAGGAGAATCTGATGAGATAAAAAAGTTACCATTTAATGAAATGATTTAATAATCATAATTATCTTTAGATAATCATCATTGTAGTCCATTTTTAATTAGTGGTACAAAATGTTTAGATGGAAATGGTTATATGCTTGTATTGTAAGTAGGATAAAATACAATTTAAGGATAATTAAAATTATTATTAAATTAAGATAATCCACCAACACCACTTTAATAAAAATTAGAAGGAGTAGCTGAAGATATAGGTAAATTGGGAACATTAGTAGCAATTTTAACATTTATAGCATTAATGGGACATTTAATTTATGATGTATTTGTATTACATAAACATGAATTTATGAATTTAAAAACTTTGTCATTTATAATAGATGCATTTATGATAGGTGTAACTATAATAGTAGTTGCAGTACCTGAAGGATTACCTCTTGCTGTAACTATAGCATTAGCATATTCAGTAGGAAAGATGAAAGATGAATAAAATTTAGTAAAGAATCTAGCATCTTGTGAAATTATGGGAGGAGCCAATAATATTTGTAGTGATAAAACAGGAACTTTAACATAAAATATTATGTCAGTCACTACTATTTGGAGTGAAAATAGTTTTATAACTAAAGACTAATTTAATTAAAATAATTTGTTATCTAAATAAACAGTAGAAGTAATGGCTGAATCTATTTGTTATAATTCTAATGCAAATCCAAATAAAGATAAAAATAATAATAGATGGATATAAATAGGAAATAAAACTGAATGTGCATTAATTGAATTAGCAGATATCTTTGGATTCAAATATTCTAATTATAGATAAAATGAAAAGATCCTTAGATAAATACCATTTAATAGTAAAAGAAAGAAGATGAGTACTGCTGTTTTAAATTAAAAAAATTAAACTGTTAGAATATTTACTAAAGGTGCTTCAGAAATCATATTATAATAATGTTTCAGATATATTTCAAAAAATGGAAATGAATTATAACTTGATAAAACTAAAAAGGATGATATTCTACATAATGTAATTGAATATTATGCATCTCAATGTTTAAGAACAATTGCAATAGCTTACAGAGATTTTGAACCATAAAGTTCAAATTTTAAAGGTTCTACTGTCAATATGAAAGCTCATATTCATTAAATTCCTGAAGATGATTTAGATAAAGATTTAACATTAATAGCTATTTGTGGTATAAAAGATCCTATTAGAGCAGATGTTCCTAATGCAATTAAATTATGTAATTAATCTGGTGTGACAGTAAGAATGGTTACTGGAGATAATCTAATAACTGCATAATCTATAGCTAAAGAATGTGGTATTTTAGAATAAGGTAGAGCTCAATAAGAATTTGAAGTAATAGAAGGCAAAAAATTCAGAGAATTGGTTGGAGGATTGATTAGTGTTAAGGATGATGAAGGTAAAGAAATAAAGAAAATTAAAAATATGCAAATTTTCTCTAAAATAAGTAAAGAGATGAAAGTTATGGCAAGAGCATCTCCTGAAGATAAATATTTATTAGTTACTGGTTTAATTGAAGAAGGAAATGTTGTAGCTGTCACAGGAGATGGTACTAATGATGCACCTGCTTTAAAAAAGGCTGATGTTGGATTTGCTATGGGAATTACTGGATCTGATGTTGCTAAGGATGCTGCAGATATTATTCTTATTGATGATAATTTTAGTTCTATTCTTATAGGTATATTTTATTTATAATATTATTAGCTATGATATGGGGTAGAAATATTTATGATTGTATAAGGAAATTTATTTAATTTTAATTAACTGTTAATTTAGTTGCATTATTTATGTCTTTTACAGGTGCTGTTATATTAAAATAATCTCCTTTAAATGCAATTGAAATGTTATGGGTAAATTTAATTATGGATACTTTTGCATCTTTAGCTTTAGCTACAGAACCTCCATCTATTAAAGTACTTTAA